ATGAAAACGGTTAGGAAGGCCGGGCACAGTGGCTCACACCTATAATACCAACACTTTGGGAGGCTGAGGCGGGTGGATCACCTGAGGTCAGGAGTTCGATACCAGCCTGGCTAACATGGAGAAACCCCGTCTCTACTAAAAATACAAAAATTAGCCAGGCATGGTGGTGCATGCCTGTAATCCCAGCTAGTTGGGAGGCTGTGGCAGGAGGATTTCTTGAACTCGGGAGGAAGAGGTTGCAGTGAGCCAAGATTGTGCCACTGTACGCCACCCTGGGCAACAGCAAGACTGTCTCAAAAAAAAAAGAAAAGAAAAAGAAAATGGTTAGGAAACATTAGCCTCCCTCTTTTTTTTTTTTTTTTTTTTTTTTGAGACAGCGTCTAGCTCTGTTGCCCAGGCTGGAGTGCAGTGGCACCATCTCGGCTCACTGCAAGCTCCACCTCCTGGGTTCACACCATTCTCTTGCCTCAGCCTCCCGAGTAGCTGGAACTACAGGCACCCACCACCACACCTGGATAATTTTTTGTTTTTTTAGTAGAGACAGGGTTTCACCCTGTTAGCCAGGATGGTTTCGATCTCCTGACCACGTGAGCCACTGCGCCCGGTCCTTAGCCTGCCTCTTAAGCTGTAAGTGGTCTCGATATGGAGACAAAGTAAAATACTATGAATGATAAATAATCTAGAACTTGAATTAAAGTAGGTGTATTTTTATTTTGTCACTTTTTATTAAAAGTTACTGTAGTGTGTTCTCTACTAAGTACCGGCACTATATTTTGAGTGCTTGCAAGACTTGGAATTCATTGTAAAATTACTGTTCTTGGACTGAGGTTACATTTTAGTCTTGTCAGTGGGTTCTTCACCAATCAATTGGAATTGATTCCAATACAGTCTTTCCCCACAGTTGAATATAGAATAAAATCTGTTGCACACTGGGTGTAGGGGCACATGTGTGGCAGGACTGCTTGAGCCTAGGAGTTCAAGACCAGCCTGGGCAACATAGTGAGACCTTATCTCAATTGAAATATGTATCTATACAAAAAATAAAATTCATTACAGTTCTTCTTGCTGGAAAACAAAATACTGTTTTTTAATTAAAAAAAAAATTTTTAATTTAGAGATGGGGTCTTGCTGTGTTGACCAGGCTGGTCTCGAACTCCTGGCCTCAGGCAGTCCTCCCATCTGGGCCTCCCAAAGTGCCGGGATTACAGTTGTGGACAACTGTGCACGGCTGACGAAGTATTTTTTAAAGACGCACCACTAAATGGAGATTTGATTCACATTTAATAGTTTTTGACAAGTGTTTTCTATTTAAAAACGTTACTTTTTTTGTAGCATTATTCTGGCTTTTCACTTAATTTAGTAAACATTTGAACACCTTTGTATTCCAGATACTGAGCAAGATTGGCAGGGTTCTGCCCTTATGGAGCAGAAGGAAGGCAGGGAGATGGACTAAAACTTGAAAACTAACTAACCTAAGTACCATGCAGAAAATGAAACAGTATTAATTGGCAGAAGGAGAGCGGGCAGTTTTGGCTAGTGTGGTTAGGGAAAGCCTCTCTAAAGAGATGTCTCTTGGGTGGAGACAAGATGTGAAAAAACCCAGCTTGCCTGTTTTTCGGGTTTCAGCCTTCCAGGTGAAGAGAAGCACAAAGTTCGGAAGTCTTAAGGCACAAAGTCTGGCATGTTCTGAAAGAAGGCCTTTAGATACCTTGTCAAGGAGTTTAGATTTTATTCTGAGTTTTAAACAGGGAAGTGACACAATGAGTTGCATTTTAAGCTTGTTCAGGCTGTTACATGGATCATTAGGAACCATATTGTTTCAGGCTAGTGAGATGCTCAGATGAGTCTTCCTTCTGTCTCTTCCCTCATCTGTTTCTCTCTTATCTGGTCTTAAGCTCCTCCATCTTTTCCTTTTTAGTTGGAAAAAAGCTCAAATATCTAGAAAAAAGAGGAGTTATATGTACTCCAAAAAAGGGACCTCACAGTAACCTGGGGATAGAGTTAGGTAGGAGTGAGTCAGGGCTCAGGTTGAGGTTCTAGAGGCACAAGGCAGCGAGATCTTGCTCTGGCATCCCCTCTTACAGAAATAAAATATGCTGATAGAAGTTTATAGTGTAACAGTAAAATATAAAAACAAAAAATAAGTAATGTAGAAAATAAAAACCCTTCACAGTCCTGCTGAAATGATCACTGTTAACACTTTAATTCTAGAGTTCCCCATCCATTTATTTATTTCTAGATTTCCCTCCCTCTTTGTAGATTAATCTTAAAGAGGTTCAAACTATATATTTTGTTCATTTTTTGTTGTCTTGGATGTCTTTTCCCATCTCTGTATATGTGGATCTACTTCATTTATCACATGGATATTAACATGGTTTATTTAATTCCCTATTGTTAGGTATTTGGTTTTTACCATCATTTTTCAAGGGTATAAATAGTGCTGCAGGGAATATGCTTACACATGTTTTTATACACTTGTCTTAGACTTCTGTAGTACAGATTTCTGGAGAATACTAGATCATTCTTTAAGAATATTTCAAACTTTTAATAGATATTACCATATTCTTTTCCAAAAAGGATGTATCAAGACTGTATGAGAATAACTCCATGTTGTGATCTTAAGTTGTCTCAAAACCTCTTTGGTTTTCTCAGCTGTCATCTAAGAATACTAAATATCTCACCTCCCTCTTGATTTGGGCATGTGATGTGATTTAGCACATAGTGGATATTCAGTTAGAAACTTTTGATTAAAAACAAGGTTTGGATTCTGTGGTCCTTAATTCTAGGTCATTTCAGCTGTGACTAAAATGATTTGAGTGTTAGTGTTATATATGGGAAGGTAAGGGCTGTGGAGTCAGTGCAGCCCAGTTCAGAATCCTAGTTTGCCGCTTACAAGCTGTGTGTGAGAGAATTTTCTCAACTGTAAAATGGGGATATAATTCCTACCTAGAGTAGCACTGAAAGTAATGTGGATAATGATTGGAATGTATGCTATGTATCCTGCCTCATAATAGTAAGCTTCTAGTAAATAGTAGCTATTGTTAATAATAAAACAAGTTTCTGAAGGAGGAAGGCTTGAAAAGATGGGATTCTTTATCAACTTCAAAGTTTTCTAAAGGAGGAAACCCCACCCCCCTTACTTCTGCATGGTTTCTGACCATGAACTGAACTCTGAACTCTGAACTCTGAATGTTATGGTAGAAAATTCATGTACTTTAAATTTAAACAGATATGGAATGTGGTTATTTTACCCACTGCTGGGGTGTTCTTGGGCAAGTAGCATGACTTCTGTGTCCAAAAAGCAAAGGGTTTGCAGTGGCTTAACCTGTAATCCCGGTATTTTGGGAGGCTAAGGAGAGTGGATTGCCTGAGCTCAGGAGTTCGAGACCAGCCTGGGCAACATAGTGAGAGCCTTTCTCTACAAAAAACTGTTTTTAAAAATTAGCTGGGCATGGTGATGCGCATCTGTGGTCCCAGCTACTTGGGAAGCTGAGGTAGGAGGATCATTTGAGCCTGGAAAATCGAAGCTGCAGTGAGCTGTGATCATGTCTCTGCACTCCAGCCTGGGCGACACAGCAAGACCCTGTCTCAGAAAATAAATTAATTAAAAAGAAAATGTGGATGGAGGAAGGAATTAAAAATCTGGCCGGGCGCGGTGGCTCACACCTGTAATCCCAGATGTGATTTGGGAGGCCGAGGTGGGCGGATCATGAGTCAAGAGATAGAGACCATCCAGGCCAACATGGCCGACCCCATCTCTACTGAAAATACAGAAATCAGTTGGGCATGGTGGTGCATGTCTGCAATCCTGGCTACTCAGGAGGCTGAGGCAGGAGAATCGCTTGAACCTGGGAGGCGGAGGTTGCAGTGAGCCGAGATCATGCCACTGCCTGGTGATAGAGTGGACTCTGTCTCCAAAAAAAAAAAAAAAAAAAGAAAAGAGAAGAAAATCTTTGGGGTTCTTACACAAATTAAATGAGATAATTTATAAAGTGCCTAAAATACATCCTAGAAATAATAGTTTTTCTTCCATGAAGTCATAAATTCTGGCTTACACTTTTTTGCAGGTATTTCTCATAGTACTAATGTGTTCCTCACACTCAAGGGTAGTTGCTTAGGAAGAAGAGAAATGTAATTGAAAAAGTAATAGACTAGAAGTCTTGACACCTGGGCTCATGTTCCAGTTTGGCCTTTTTTTTTTTTTTGGAGGTGGAGTCTCGCTCTTGTCCCCCAAGCTGTGCAACCTCCACCTCCTGGGTTCAAGTGATTCTCCTGCCTCAGCCTCCCCAGTAGCTGGGATGACAGGCACCCACTACCATGCTTGGCTAATTTTTGTATTTTAAGTAGTAATGGCATTTTACCGTGTTAGCCAGGCTGGTCTGAAACTCCTGGCCTTAAGTAATGCAGTGGCCTCTCGGCCTCCCAAAGTGCTGCGATTACAGGCGTGAGCCACTGTGCCTGGTCCTTTGCTAAATCTTTCTTTCTTTCTTTCTTTTTTTGAGACAGAGTCTTGCACTGTCATCCAGGCTGGAGTACAGTGGTACGATCTCGGCTCACTGCGAGCTCCGCCTCCCAGGTTCACACCATTCTCCTGCCTCAACCTCCTGAGTAACTGGGACTACAGGCGCCCGCCACCATGCCTGGCTAATTTTTTGTATTTTTAGTAGAGATGGGGTTTCACCGTGTTAGCCAGGATGGTCTCGATCTCCTGGCCTTGTGATCCACCTGCCTCGGCCTCCCAAAGTGCTAGGATTACAGGCTTGAGCCACCGCGCCCGGCCATCCCTTGCTAAATCTTTTAACTGCTGGTCCCATTTTCCTCATCTATGAAATATTTTATGGAAATGTACTATTAAAGAAAATTTTCTTTGCTAATAAATGCAGGAGGTATCACTTATGAAAAACCCACATCGTGCTATTTTCATAATTGGTCTTTATATATTGTGTTCTTGGGTTAAATACTTTTGTTCTAGACTTATAATTATTTGTGTTTCTTACCAGGTTTAAGAATTGTTTAAGCTGCATCAATGGAGCACATACAGGGAGCTTGGAAGACGATCAGCAATGGTTTTGGATTCAAAGATGCCGTGTTTGATGGCTCCAGCTGCATCTCTCCTACAATAGTTCAGCAGTTTGGCTATCAGCGCCGGGCATCAGATGATGGCAAACTCACAGATCCTTCTAAGACAAGCAACACTATCCGTGTTTTCTTGCCAAACAAGCAAAGAACAGTGGTATGTGAAAATTCTACTTAGGAAATTTAACTATTTATCTGCCTGTGGGACACATTAAGGATCATGTTGTTCAACTTAAAGACAGGCAAAATATTCATTGTCATATAGGGTCTTTATTAATTTTTTTTCTAACTGCAGATTCATTTCTTTATATTGCTGTTCCTTCCACACCCCCTATTTTTTCCCACCTCTTGGCCTTCCTTCTATTACTCTTGCTTGGAATGTCTTCCTTTGTGCCACTTCATCCAAACAAATAGTACATTTTAATGGGTATATTTCAAAGAATTTTCTTTGAAAAGTCTTTAGGCCTTTCCAACTACTTTTTTTAGAAGACATTTTGTTTCTTCTATTAAAATATTCACCTAAAGCTTTTTGAATATTACAATCAAGTATAAAGAAGAAAGTAAAATTACATAGAAAAAATTATTTTTGTGTATTTCTTAGGCCCAGGACAAGTCTGGAGGCAGCTTAGAAATCATACAGTCTTCTTTTTCAGGGCACTGACACCAGCCAGTTAGTTCTGCATAGTTTATTTTTGTTGTACCAGTGACAGGTTCATATTGGCATCATGGCAGGACGCTGCCACTAGGTTTTTGGATAGAAAATTTCTTTTTCCTTTTTTTTTTGTTTGTTTTTTTGTTTTTGAGACGGATTCTCTCTCTGTCACCCAGGCTGGAGTGCAGCTCACTGCAACCTCTGCCTCCTGGGTTGAAATGATTCTCCTGCCTCAGCCTCCCAAGTAGCTGGGACTACAGGCATATGCCACCACGCCCGGCTGATTTTTTTGTATTTTTAGTAGAGACGGGGTTTCACCATGTTGGCCAGGCTGGTCTCAAACTCCTGACCTCAGGTAATCCACCCGACTCGGCCTCCCAAACTGCTGGGATTACTGACGTGAGATACCACCCCAGCCTGATACGAAACTTCAATTTTTCTAAGAATTTAGCACTCAAAAAGGTTATCTGGTCGGGTGTGGTGATTCACCCCTGTAATGCCAGCACTTTGGGAGGCCGAGGTGGGCAGATGGCTTGAGTTCAGGAGTTCGAGACCAGTCTGGGCAACATGGCAAACCCCATCTCTACAAAAAAAAATTTTTTAAGTAGGCCGGTTGTGGTGGCTCACGCCTGTAATCCCAGTACTTTGGGAGGCCAAGACCAGCGCATTACTTGAGGTCAGAAGTTCGAGACAAGCCTGGCCAACATGGTGAAACCCCATCTCTACTAAAATTACAAAAATTAGCCAAGCATGGTGTTGTGCGTTTGTAAGCCCAGCTACTTGGGAGGCTGAGGCAGGAGAATCACTTGAACCTGGGAGGCAGAGGTTGCAGTGGGCTGGGATTGCGCCACTGCACTCCAGCCTGGGCGAAAGGGCGAGACTCTATCTAAAGAAAGAAAGAACAACAAAAATGTAGCCAGGCGTGGTGGCACGCATCTGTAGTCTCAGCTACTCAGTACTCAGGAGGCTGAGGTGGGAGGATGGCTTGAGTCCAGGAGGCAAAGGTCACAGTGAGCTGAGACCGCACTGCTTCACCCCAGCCTGGGTGACAGAGAGCCAGACACCTTCTCAAAGAAAAAAAAAAAAATTTCTACTATTATGGATAAAACAAAACCAACCACCTAGCCAAAACAGAAAAGTGAAATTGTATTGGTTTTGCTTAGTGGAACTGTTCAGAGAACTTGAGTTCAAAACTTCCATGCCTCTTCCTCTCCCATCCTCTGTTCTTTGTGTAAAATCAATGCATTGTGTTTATACAGTATAGTCAGGTGAAGCAAGGTTCTGAGGTGGGGAACCCCAGTCCAGAGTTTTCTCTGTTTGCTTGTAACAGTTCCACTCTTCCCAATTTGTTAATAAATTGTTTATACTTTTTTTGTGAACCTAAGGAGCCTCCCCAGTATAGTGTTGAATACTTAGGTGCATTTTGAACTGAAGGCAAAACTCAAAAGTCCAATTAAAGTTTGAGTAAGTTTATCTTTGTCTTCTTAAAAATGAAAATTTTATGGCTGGCAAAATAAGTAGTAATAATCCCCTATATCTGAATAGTGGTCTTTTGTTTGCAAAGTAATTTTACCTACTGTTTCTCATTAATTTTCTTTCTGACCCTAAATTGAGAAGTCAGATATAGGAAGTGTGTGTTATGAGAAGTTGAAGACCATTTGGTGCTTCTTCAGAGTGTTATTGAGACTATCTTCTCCATCCCCATCTGCTACCAGTTTGCCCAGCAGGCTGGGAAACTTAATTTGGCATAGTAATTAAGTGTATGAACCTTTAAAAGAAGAAAACCCCAATTTACATCCTTGCATTGCCTTTTATTAGCTATATCATTTAAACAAGTTTTGTACTTTTTTGAGCCTGTTTCCTGACCTTTATGAAATGAGGCTTGTACTTAGTACAGTGACTGATTCATTAGTGAAGTGGTAGCTATGATGATGATGATTATATATTTTTTTTAGATAGAGGCTCTCACTGTCACTCGGGCTGGCATGCAGTGGCCCGATCTCGGCTCACTGCAACCTCCGCCTCCCAGGTTCAAGTGATTCTCCTTGCCTCAGCCTCCCAAGTAGCTGGGATTACAGGCACCTGCCACCGCATCTGGCTAATTTATTGTATTTTTGGTAGAGATGGGGTTTCACCATGTTGGCAAGGCTGGTCTCAAACTCCTGACCTTGTGATCCGCCCGGCTCACCTTCTCAAAGTGCTGAGATTACAGACGTGAGCCACCGTGCCTGGCTGCTGTGACTATTTCTTAGCTTTTTAAACATCTGTGTAGTCCTTGATCACCTCCATTTGAGCACAGCTGGTGGTTGGAAACCAAGCTTGACTTCTCCTACAGCTTATGAGAAGGTTGTAGCCTAGGTTAGTTTTGCCTATTATTTTGGGTAAAGATGTACTAACTGTGGAAGAACTGGCTGCTTTCACCAGGCAGCGAGCTTCAGGAAAGCGGTAGAGGAGGGAAGAGTCACTTAGTTAGGCCAGCACCATCAGTCAGCTGTTTTTACTCCTCTCCAGGTTGCTTCACTTCCTGAACCCAGAATGACTCTCATAATCACTCAGTGGGTTCTAGAAATTATTTAGCTGATTACAGCATGTATCCATGGAGGGCTGTAAAGAGGAGAATGAGACAGAGGACGTGTATCTGTTTTAAATAATTTTAGATGTGATAATTAGGTTTTTGAATGTTTCTTCTAATTTTTATTTTCTAAACATGTACCTCTTTGACTTTCTCCTGCTGCTGTTGCTGCTATTGTTGCTGCTGCTACTGCTTCTAATTATTATTAGATGAGTGATTGACTGGAGCCAAGGACCACTACTGTTAGAATCAGCTGACCAGCAGGTTAAAATACAGATTCGTTCTGTATGAATGGGCTTTATTCCATACTAACTGAATCAGAATCCTTGGATGTGTTGGACAGGTAGATGGAATCTATGTTTTCACAAGTTTCTCTGAGGATTCTAATGCCAGCTACATTTGGGAACCTGACTGGATTAGACGATATTTAAAGAACTCTCCAGCTTGAATTACGATTTAATGAAGACTGATAATATAACAGATATCACTTTATAGCTTAGAAAACATTGTTATACAGTATTTGGTGCAGGTCATGATTCTGTTAGTGTATGTTTATTACTCTTCGTTTTCCTCATTCTTAGTGTCTTCATAGTTCAGATCAGTATAGCTTACTTGTTTTGTTTCTGGAAAGCTGGAAGTTGGTGGGTATCACTGCGTCAAGAAACTTTTAAAATAAACTTATTTTGGAACATTAAAAAATATATACAGGCTGGGTGCAGAGGCTCTTCCCTGTAATCCCAGCACTTTGGGAGGCTGACGAGCCCAGGAGTTTGAGACCAGCCTGGGCAATATAGTGAGATCTTGTCTCTACCAAAAAAAAAAAAAAAAAAAAATTAGCTAGGGGTGGTGCTGCCCATCTGTGGTCCCAGCTGAGACTGAGGCAGAAGGATCACCTGAACCGGGGTGGTCAAGGTTACATGAGTCATGATCATGCCATTGTATTCCAGCCTAGATGACAGAGCAAGACCCTGTCTCAGTATATATAATATAGATTTTATACACACACACACACACACCCCCGCACGTAGAGAGAATAACAAATCTGATGTACAACTTACCCACTTTCAACACTTAGCTAACCATGGCAGTCCTGCTTAATCTGTGTTTTCATCCACTCCTTTCCCAGTGTTTTGACACAAATCCTGGATATCATTTGTCTGAACTATTTTGGTATGTACAAGGAACTTTTAAAGAATGCTAATTTTATTTATTTTTAAATAGGTAAAGCATTCATATGAGCCAGAAGTCTTGGGTGACCCCTGCCCCTGTATCCCCATTTCTTTTCCTCAGAGGTTTCCTATGATCAATCTTCTATCTATTCGAAGAATCAGTTGGTTTCCCCTTACCCTGTTGTTCATGGCCTTTGCTTTCTTCGACATCTCTGAAGGAGAGGAAAAACCATCGGTAGCTAAGGAGGCTATCACAAACTCCAAAGGAACTTTTTTCGTTTGGAAAATCTTTTCCTTTCTCCCAGATGATTGATCCTCCCGGAAAATATTCCTCCCCCACTCCCATCACCTTCTGAGCTAATCTGTTACAAGTTCAAATTCTTCTACACTGTACTCTGAATGTGGGGTCCATCTTTGGGCTTCAAATAATGATTACTGGGCAGATAAGTCCCCATCAGTCCCTGGTGATAGCAAAATAAAGCCTTGTGAAAAACTTCTTACGTTGCCCCTGTCTGATGTTTTCAAATTCTTTAGGCTCACATGCATTTCCTTCTTTCCTAGATTGTTTTCTCTGCTTTGCATCCAAATACTATACCCTGGTTTGGAGCCTGGTAACTAGGAGGGCCCAGATACCTATGTCCTGTTTCTTAAGACTTTTTTCTGTTGTAAACCAGCTGGAGAAGGTTGGCTGGATTGGCATTGAGGTGCCTGGAGTAAGAGCCAAGATTAAGAACACTTTGGGCCTTTTGGAGCCCTGCTTTGCTTCCTTTCCCCTCCCCGTGTATTCACATAGGTAAATATATGCATACACTCACCACCTTCTGGGGAAGGGATTGGCTGGCTGCTGTAAGCTGTTAACACTTTCAGAGGAGGAACTTTGCTGTAAGAAGTTAACAAGCACTGCAAATGTATGTTTTGCCCTCCTTGCTGGCCATACTGACTCTAGTTACTTTACTTTTGATTAACTCTTGGCTTTGAAGTTAACACATGGAGGACTTTTATTAAAACTCTGAAATTTTAGTTCAAATTTTTTTTACAGCTTCCATTAATTGTGAGTATCCTGGGCACTCACACTTCCCAATAGGGTTCTGAGTACCTGCCTAGCTTTTTGAGGGTTGAGTACAGGGAAATATAGAGAAGTATGTGCCATTAAGGCTGCTTGGTATGGTATGCACATATATTTAAACTAAGATTGGTGTTTGTCCCTACAGCAGGGCTGGAGTTCTATGTCTTCCACTTCCTGCTTTGCCTTCACTAGAGTTAAGTACTTGTGAGATGGAATTTTTGTTAGAATGATTAGTCATTTTTGTTGAAATAAGTTGAAGTACAAATTTTGATCATAAAAACTCATGTTTGTTTATAGAGCAGGTTGGCTTATTTCCTCTTTAATGAATCTAATGAACATACATGTGTTTACATTCTAATCACACAAAATTAGAGACATGTAAAGGAAAAGTTTATCATTTTCTTTTTTTTTTTTTTTTTTTTTTGAGACGGAGTCTCGCTCTGTCGCCCAAGCTGGAGTGCAGTGGGCGGATCTCAGCTCACAGCAAGCTCCGCCTCGCGGGTTCACGCCATTCTCCTGCCTCAGCCTCCCGAGTAACTGGGACTACAGGCGCCCACCACCTTGCCCGGCTAGTTTTTTGTATTTTTTAGTAGAGACTGGGTTTCACCATGTTAGCCAGGATGGTCTCGATCTCCTGACCTCGTGATCCGCCCGTCTCAGCCTCCCAAAGTGCTGGGATTACAGGCTTGAGCCACCGCACCCGGCCGTCATTTTCTCTTTCTTAACCACTATCTCTTGATGTGAACAGCTAAGTGTAAATCTTTCCGCACTCATATTTCTTCATACAAATTTCTTCACCTTTTTTTTTTTTTTTGAGACAGAGTCTCACTCTTGTCACCCAGGCTGGAGTGCAATGGCGTGATCTCAGCTCACTGCATCCTCTCCCTCCTGGGTTCCAGCAATTCTCCTGCCTCAGCTTCATGAGTAGCTGAGATTACAGGTGTCCACCACCATGCCTGGCTAATTTTTGTATTTTTAGTAGAGACGGGGTCACTGTGTTGGCCAGGCTGGTCTCGAACTTCTGACCTCAGGTGATCCACCCGCCTTGGGCTTCCCAAAGTGCTGAGATTACAGGTGTGAACCACCGTGCCTGGCCTCTTCATCTTTAAAATAATCTTACTCTATTATGCTGAAGGATATTTTCCCCCAATTAATTTATCATGGACTCCTCTCCATCCAGGTCATTATAAGTAATGTAATAGCTGCATAATGTGACATAATACAGATGTCTCACACTTCATTCAAGTACTTACCTATTGCTGTACATTCAGGTTGTTTCATATATGTGTGTGTGCGTGTGCCATCACAAGCAATGCTGTCATAAATTTGCCTGCACCTTTATAGACTGGTGCGTTTATTTCTGTGCCCACCTTTCCAAGGGGTGCTGCAGCCTATGTTGGTCCTAAAGGTGATCCTTTGTTTGTAGGTCAATGTGCGAAATGGAATGAGCTTGCATGACTGCCTTATGAAAGCACTCAAGGTGAGGGGCCTTCAACCAGAGTGCTGTGCAGTGTTCAGACTTCTCCACGAACACAAAGGGTAAGAGCTCAAAAGTCAATTGACTTTTCAGATTAGTAAGGATCTTCTAGCTTCAAATAGCTATGTTTGTATTAAATTGTACTAGCTTCCTATAGAATATTGTATATTTCTATGCCTTTCTTTATAAAGAGATAATTCAGAAAAATAGGTATTAAGAAATTGAAATTATTGCTTGGACATTCTCTTGAAAAGTCCAATACCTGTAATTTTAACACTTTGGGAAACTGAGGCAAGAGTGTTGCTTGAGGCCAGGAGTTCAAGACCAGCCTGGGCACATAGTGAAGGCCCATCTCTACAAAAAAATTTTAAAAACTAGCCAGGCATGGTGGTGCGGCCTTGTAATCCTAGCTGTTTGAAATGCTAAGGTGAGAAGATTGCTTGAGTCCAGGGCTTTGAGGCTGCAGTGAGTCATGATTGTGCCACTGGACTCCAGCCTGGGCTGGAGCAAGATCCTATCTATTAAAAACAAAAAAGAAACAAACAAAAAAAAATATGTTAGGTATTGATAATGTTTCCATGGATGGAAACGGTAATGTTAGATGCTATGTTTTTTGAGGCAAAGATTTTTCTTTGTGTTTACTGTGTTTATTGTAATGCATTATAGAGACTGAGCACTCAGAAAGTGCATTATTATATATATAAAGAATGCTATCCTCGGGAGATTGACTTTTCTCATTCACTAATTTTTTTTTTGGTTCAGTTAAATGTGTCCTAATCCCTGCTGTTTGATAGATTGTTTAAAGATGCAGAAGCATTTCTGCTTCAGGGAAGATTCATAGTTTATCCTATTCCTAATGGTGGTGGCAAGATAGAGGCATCCCCTCAAAGGCTAGGAGTAATACCTCAAAGCAGCAGAGCTGTCTGTAATTATCCATTATCCACTATTCCCTCCACCCCTAAAATATAGGGAAACCTTTAAAGGGTTCTTTTTTTACCCTCTTCTTGGAAAGGGTCAATTACGTTATTCATCTTTAGCTTACATTTTTTCATGTTTCAAAGAGTTCTCCAGTTTGAGAGAATAGCCCAGGGAATGAATCTACTCAAAGGGGTGAGTGTAATTCTCAATTTAGGAGGCGTTTGTTGAAGTGCAAATCTTTGAAGCAGATGTTAACTTTTGCTGAATGTAGCCCAGGTTGGGTCCCTAAGCCAATCCATAGTGCTCCTTAAGGACTAGAGAGATTCTGAGACAGGGAGGGCTTGGTCTGCTCTCATCCAAGGCTGCTCTGGTTTGGAGCTACTCTGGAGTCTCTAGGACAGAGAGCAGATTGTCATTAGGATCAGTCTGCAGATTGATGAGAAAATAAGGCTTGTCCTCCCTCTCTTCATAAGGGCAAAATAGTCCTTTGGAATTATAGGGAGTTTTCCAGGTGCTGTATAGGTAATTATATTAGGGAGTGTATTATTTACTGTTGGATAGTGAGAAAAATGACTAGGCTTCTGGTAGATGATGAAGAGGCTTGAATGGTGCTGTACATGTTATTCTCTTTACCTGAGAATATTCTTCCTTTGGAAAATGGGCCAGATTAACTGGATACAACATGAGAAAGGAATTGGGCATTGATTTTTACTTATATGTATCTGTTTTTTTATCTTATTTATACTGTAGGCAGAGAAAGTGTGGTTTCAGAATAGATTTTAAAAGACAGTTCTAAGTTTCTCATTGATTTATAGACCCTACAACTACAGATTTGAGTCTGTTATTAATAGAAAAGTACATTTTTCATTTGTGGTTCCTTTCTATTTATCTAGATTGAAATAGGCTACTGAAGACTAAATTTTGTACTGCAGCAATATTTATAATCCATTTTACAGGATTTGGGGATTTTTGTAAGATTTTAATGTTACAAATTCCAATTTAATGTATATTGACTTTATCGTGAGATTGTTATATATCGTTGTTTAAATAAAACTTTATTCTGGCCAGACATGGTGGTTCACACCTGTAATCCCAGCGCTTTGGGAGGCTGAGGCAGGAGGACCGCTTGAGGCCGAGGATTCAAGACAAGCCTGGGCAACACAGCAAGACTCTGTCTCTACCAAAAAGCATTTTTTTAAATAAATAGAAAACTTTATTCTAAGAACATGGGCTTTGGACTTCAGCAGACCTAGATTCCAACATAGGCCCTTAAACTTGCTCTGTGGCCTTCAGCAAGTTACCTTCTTAGAGTCCCAGTTTTCTTATTTTTCAGATAGAAATAATACCTACTTCATAGGTTTGTTGTATGAATTAAATAAGTTATTGTTGTATGGATTAAATAAAGTTGTGTTTATATAGCATGTGATAAATGGTAGCTGTTGTTATTTCTATTGCACTTTTACCTTGTTTAAACATTTCCTGTTCATGCTTTTTTTAAAAAATTCTTTTTAGTAAAAAAGCACGCTTAGATTGGAATACTGATGCTGCCTCTTTGATTGGGGAAGAACTTCAAGTAGATTTCCTGGATCATGTTCCACTCACAACACACAACTTTGTAAGTTGCAGATCTCCTCTCTTTCTGGCATGTTGAGGGCTTTGCTAGGGATAACAGAAATTTCTCAGGTAATATGCATATGTATATAGTTGAATTGTTTAAAGCTGTTTATGTTGTTGTTTACGGTGAGGCATAAAGCTGTTTATGTTGTTGTTTCATTAGCCAGAGATACACTTTAATTTGTGATTATGAATTCTGTAAAGGTTGGAAGTACGATTCATTTTGTAAAAACTCTTTTGGAGGCCAAGGAGGAAATGACTTTATGACTTTGTCTTTTGTCATCTTTTATGTATTCAGCATAATTTACACCTGTGTCCTTGTTGTAGGCTCGGAAGACGTTCCTGAAGCTTGCCTTCTGTGACATCTGTCAGAAATTCCTGCTCAATGGATTTCGATGTCAGACTTGTGGCTACAAATTTCATGAGCACTGTAGCACCAAAGTACCTACTATGTGTGTGGACTGGAGTAATATCAGACAACTCTTGTAAGGCATTGTTCTTTTTCTCAAGGAATATAGGGATGAGGAGTATAAATACTTTAAAGGGTATTTGGTGTAGATTTTGACTGGCAGGTCTGGATTCTAGACTCATTTAATGAATTGTGATCCAGAAACTACTTTAGAAACAGTGATAATTCTGAAACTAGCTAGGCTTGGTGGCATCGATACTCCAGAATGAGCAGGTAGGAGTAGGACTTACTATCTGTCAAATTGAGATTGACATACTGTGACTGTGATTCAGTAAGGAAAAGAACAAAAGGATATGAAAACAAGAAGATTTTTTGCTTTTCTCTCTTAATAGTATCATCTACTAGGGTTGCTAGTAGACACTGCTGACACTGCTCTGTATTTTGTTGAATATGCTGAATGAGCCTTTGACATTGAGAAAGAGCAGAAAGCACAGTTGATGCTATTTTCTTCACTTCAAACTGGAGAAAACTTAGTTGTTTGGAATTAAAATTATTTGAATATAAAATCTTGAAAGATTCTTGTTTCTGTTAGGAGACAATATATTTCATATAGATAAAATTTTATTAAAGAATTTAGTTTATATTAAAAGTACATGGTCCAAACTGCCTTTTAAAAACTGTAACTAGGGATATGAAAAGTTTAAAATTTTGTCCTTTTTTGATAGTACTAGAGAGACCAAGGGAGTTTTATTATTAGACCATGATGAAAACATTTTTGCTTTCATGGTCACTTACATATTGATTTTGTGATGAGAGCTTGAGTAGCACAAATGGCACAAGCTTTCAAAATTTATCTTATTTTTGTCCCCCCATCCCCCACTACCTTTTTTCTTTTTTCTTTTTTTTTTTTTCTTTGAGACGAGTCTCTTTCTGTTGCCAGGCTGGAGTGCAGTGGCGTGATCTCGGCTCACTGCAACCTCCGCCTCCCGGGTTCAAGCGATTCTCCTGACCTAGCCTCCCAAGTAGCTCAGACTATAGGCACACACCACCACGCCCAGCTAATTTTTGTAATTTTAGTAGAGATGAGGTTTCACCTTCTTGGCCAGTATGGTCTCGATCTCTTGACCTTGCGATCTGCCCACCTCGGCCTCCCAAAGTGCTGGGATTACAGGCGTGAGCTACCACACCCAGCATTTTTTTTTTTTTTTTAAAAGACAGAATCTCGCTCTGTCTCACATGCTGGAGTGCAATGGCATGATCACAGCTCACTGTAGCCTTGACCTCGGGTTCAAGTAATCCTCTTACCTCAGCCTCCTGAGTAACTGGAACTACAAGTGTTTGCCACCATGCCTAGCTAATTTTTTTATTTTTTGTGGAGACGGGGTTTCACCATGTTGCCCAGGCTGGTCTAGAACTCTTGAGCTCAAGCAGTCTGTCTGCCTTGGCCTTCCAAAGTGGTGGTGTTACAGGTGTGAGCCACTGCACCTGGTGGCACAAGCTTCTGAGTCTAACAGACGTATGTCAGAATCTCACTGTTGTCATTAACCGTAACCACAACTGAGTTTTCGTTCATGCATCTGAATAAAGGGGATATTACCTTCCTTGCATTGTTCTTATGAGGCTTGCTGACAAGTGCCCAGCTCATGGAAAGAAGGTGCCTAATTACTCACTTTTCTGTGATTTATTCCTCCTATTTTAGTCTTTTTATCTATCTATTTTCAAGATGGAATGTTTCCAGAAAAGCTCTATGTGACATAGTTTGTAAAATGTTCTACTGTAGTTTGAAAAACATTATTTTGATACAGCTAGACATAGGACCAGTATTTCCTAGAAATGCACACTGGGCCGGGCATGGTGGCTCACGCCTGTAATCCCAGCACTTTGGGAGGCTGAGGCGGGTGAATCACCTGAGGTCAGGAGTTCGAGACCAGACTGGCCAACATGGTGAAACCCCGTCTCCACTAAAAGTACAAAAATTAGCTGGGCGTGGTGGTGTGTGCCTGTAATCCCAGCTACTTGGGAGGCTGAGGCAGGAGAACCCAGGAGGCGGAGGTTGCAGTAAACCAAGATTGCTCCTCTGCACTCCAACCTGGGCAACAGAGCGAGACTCCATCTCAACAAAAAAAAAGAAAAAGAAAAAGCACACTGCAGCCCGTATGTTTATTGGCAGGTCAGTATTATTCACATTCAATAATCATTCAAACCCAGTTATTTGGAATATTGTTCCCTTTATTCTAGGTAATGTAAAACAGTTGAGGAAAATGTGACTGGGAAAAGTTCAGTTTTAGTAGCTCTGAGTTTGCAAAAGCAAGGCATGCTGATTGTCTCTGTAAGATTACTGTAAGCCTAAAAACCAGTCTTTCCCTGCTTTTGTTTAGATTGTTTCCAAATTCCACTATTGGTGATAGTGGAGTCCCAGCACTACCTTCTTTGACTATGCGTCGTATGCGAGAGTCTGTTTCCAGGATGCCTGTTAGGTAATTTTTTTACCTATAGCTTTTCTTTTAGAAAGTTATTGTGGGGGGAGGTGGGGTTGGAAGCTCAAAGACAAAAAATAAAGAGTTTCTTCACATTCCCTCCTCTCTATGTGGAAATCCCTTGCTGCTTCTGTGGAATGTGATACTGGTGGTACAGCAAAATGTAGAAATTTCTCTTTATGGATCTGGAGATCTTACATTCTGGAAAGTGACTTTGACTATAGTTTCTTCTGTTATCCTAGCATATTCCTTAATATGTCATTACATTTTAAAGAGCTTGAGATTCTACTTTCCTCAGTATGTACTGAGTTCAACCTCAATGGAAAGGGTCCCAAAACTTGATACAGTGATTCAATAAAAATAAAACCCTTAACTTTGAAATGCATGTTATGGCCTTGCATTTGCTAAAACCATGTATTTAAATAGACTAGTGTCTTTAAAAAACATTTAGTTATATTTTCAGCATAAATATTGTTTCTAATGTGTCTCTGAATTTGCATATAACTTGTCTTTACTCTGTTTTCCAGCTTTACAATCAGTTTTGTTCAGTTCACATATTGCTCAGTGTTACACACATGAATTTGAAACCTAAAGTAAAATCTACATCCAAAATATCTTACTTTAGGCCAGGCACGGTAGCTCACGCCTGTAATCCCAGCACTTTGGGAGACCGAGGTGGGCAGACCACTTGAGGTCAGGAGTTCCAGACTAGCCTGGCCAACCAACATGGTGAAACTCCATCTCTACTAAAAATACAAAAAACTGGCTGGATGTGGTGATATGCGCCTCTTGGCCTAGCTACTTGGGAGGCTGAAGCAGGAGAATCTTGAACCTGGTAGGCAGTGAGCTGAGATGGCACTACTGCACTCCAGCCTGGGTGACAGAGCAAGACTCTGTCTCCAAAAAATACACACACACATAATGTGTAATCAGATAATGTTTAATGTGAAACTACTATGGAAATTATTAAAGGCAGCATATCTTAGAATAAGGAATTTGCATATGTCTGGATATATATTTGTGTATGACTTTTATTTTTCTTGATAATTTGAAAAGCAGATCTGACCAAGAGTTTGTAGTTACCTCTGAAGATTAGAAGAAACCAGGCCTCTGAAGCCATAAACAGAATTATGTGGGAAGGCATTTTTTCAAGACAATAGAACCATTTCCCTTAGAAAAGCTGGCCTTTTATCCCTTTAATTCATACATGGATGTTAACTGAATCTGAACAAACCTCAAACTAATCTTTAGAACAAATAATGAAAACGTCTGACCTTTTTGCAGACATGCTCAGCACGTCTACTTATCTGTTTAAAATCTTAAAGTTCTCAAATTTAGTCTCTGAATTAAACTGGGCACGTTCCAACTAGCTTAATAAGTGGTAGTGTGGTTGTCAAATGTTAATCTATTCTTTCCCGGAGATGATGTAAAAATTTGGAGTATTCGGGTGGTGCTTTATTAAAAAAAAGAAAACTTACAATACATTCTCCTTTTCATTGAATTCCCAATACATATATTATTTCCTGTTCCAAATTTTGTATGCAAAAGCACCCAGACTTAAGATAATTTTTAGATGTCACATATTTGAAAGAATCAAACATTGTGTCAAAGATTGTACAGGTAGAGTTTGCCCTTAAGCATCTTAATCAAGTAGGTAGTTGAAAGACTTCACCAGTATGAAAGCCTAAATGCCAATCATGGAATTTTGTTTCTCCTCTTTGCCTAGTTCTCAGCACAGGTATTCTACACCTCACGCCTTCACCTTTAACACCTCCAGTCCCTCATCTGAAGGTTCCCTCTCCCAGAGGCAGAGGTCGACGTCCACACCTAACGTCCACATGGTCAGCACCACCCTGCCTGTGGACAGCAGGATGATTGAGGTAATAGGGCCCCTTGGGGGTGGTGATGTCAGTCAATTAATGGGGTGAGGGTGATATTTATTTCAGAGAGTTTTGGGTTTCAAATCTGATCAAAAAATGTTGCAACACTTTCTCAGGTCTCTGGACTTTTACAGTTTATTTTATATCCATAATATCTTTAGACTGGCTGAATAGTCTGGTTGGTATATCATTCAAGTGGAGAACTAAAATTTCCTGAAAAATATGTTAACATTTGAACTCTTCCCATTATCAGATTTGAATAGGCTTTTAATGAACGAGTGCCTAAGATATTTAAAGAGGAGTTTAATTTTGGTGTGGGACAGAAAATAACAGTGATGGAGAACTACAGATTCTCTGGAAGACTTTTGCGATTTTATTTAGAAATAAAAGGGTGGAGTCCTAGGATTTAATAAGCAGGTATTTAGGGAGATGTCCAAGTGCCCAAAGCTAGTGTTTTTGAACTCCTTTTTCTTTTCTTGGCTTTTTGGTTATGTCCTATTGGTTTAATTTGCTTTCTGCTTCATCTTTAATAACAACTGAATACACTTAAATACTTCCTTTGTTCTTTATTCTTATTTCTCATTGCTTTGGACTAGAATAACAGCCTGAATGCTTCTCCCAGGGCGTGGTCCAGACGATTTTGTTTGAGGGGAAGAGTAGGTATTTTTCTTCATGCCTTTGCTTTCTTGTAATTAACAGGATTGCTAAAACTGTCAGACAGTAGACTACCAAAAATGAAATAGTTGCTAAGTTAAATTTATATTTCTTGTTGCTTGTTTCCATGTTTTCTTTTTTCCTTTTTTTTTTTTTTTGGCAGTAGAGTATATAGAAGTAAAAAAAAAAAATGTTGTATATGGTATTGATCATAGGTGAAATGAATTTCTTAAGTTAGGCCAGGCATGGCGGTGTATGCCTGTTGTCCCAGCTACTCCAGAGGCTAAGGCAGGAGGATCACTGGAGCCCAGAAGTTCTAGGCTGTAGGGAGCTACAGTTGTGCCTGTGATTAGCCACTGCACTCCAACTGGGACAACATGGTAAGAATCCACCTTAAAAACAAAAAATCTCAAGTTAGATTTTGAGGCCAAGGGCATTAAAAAGGTTTTTTTTGTTGTTGTTTTTTTTAAATCAGTTCCAACCAGACTAATGTTAGACTTACTTAGTTGGTACTCACAGCATTGGTATTCTGTTTATATATTAGTACCAAATGTGTCAGTTTGGTTGATAAACCCTGGAATAAATATCCTTTATTGAAAGCTTATCAGAGATAACTATGCTCTCTCTCATCATGTAGACATCTGCTGCCTTAGGCACAGTTTATTTCACTCAGACCTCAAATCACTTTCAACAGAATTGTCCTGCCACTGTTGTGAGGAGGTCATGTATAAGCTATTAATTTTGTTATTTTGGCTTTATCATTATGATTAGTCCTGATAATACAATAATATACCAGTTACTGCTACTTTTATTAAATGGTTTGTTCTGTATGAACACTGTAATACTTACAGGGAACAGTAAAGGTCAGAATTGGCTAGGTGGGAAGATCACTTGCGACCAGGAGTTCGAGACCAGCCTGGGCTATATGTAGCAAAACCCCACCTCTACAAAAAGGTATATGAAAATTAACTGGGCTTGGTGGTGCGCACGTGCAGTCCTAGTTACTCAGGAGGCTCAGGCAGGAGGATTGCTTGAGCCCAGGAGTTTGAGGTTGTAATGAGCTATGTATGATTGTGTCAAGAATTTTTGAGTTTTTATTATAAAAGAATTAGCACAACTGTTATGCCTAATCATTTTTTACTTTGGAAGCAGGGTAAATTTTGATTCCTGTTATTTAATCACATATGAGTCAGCATTTTAAAAGTAGACTAATTGTTGCTTTATTTATTTAAATTGTTTGTAAGTCTCAAATTTTTCATAGTTCTCGAGTATTTAGATTCCAGGAACAATAGAAAAATTCTTTCTAGGATAAATTGATCCAGCTGTAGAAATTAGCACAGAATAAAATATGGAATATTTAATGGATATAGGGAAGAAAATGACTATGACATTAAGGAAAATATTCTACTACATAGGAATATAATTGTGGTTAATAAAAATAAATTGTGCTTTGCTTTAAAAACAAAGAACAGATTACTTGGATAATGAAGCTACAGCTGCCGATTTCTGTTGAAATCCACGTTATTTTTTGCCACTGTTTTGCCCACCTGGCAGTTACCCTGCTGTACTTAAAAACACACAGATTCCTGGGCTTCCCACGTTCCCCTCCAGAACATGCTCAGTCAATCCTGGGTCGAGGATTAGGGGTGGATCGTCATTCTTCTTTCCAGAGTCAGAGTCACTATCCAAGTAATTCTGAAGACTAGCTAGTTTTGGGAACCAGAACTAGGCTTTCTTGTTAAATTCCGAATTATGTTTTGGGAGCAGAGGAACAGCTTGGTTTGATTCTTTTTATCTTATAATGATATAATTGAGTGGGAGCATTCTAGTAATAGTTGTGTGGAACAAGTATCTTGTCTATACTGTAGTTACACAAAGAGAATAGTAGGACCTCCCCCAAAAAAATGTCCTTTTTGTTGGGAGTGGTTTTATATTATTCTATTATACTATTCTATTCCAAGTGATGAATTTTAGATTGGGGTTTAGGTCTCATGGAGGTCTCTGTTTTAAACTATTTTCCAAACAGTTTCTAATAAATTCTAAAGATAGCCTTTGCTTTCTCCCATGAGTAGAATGTAATCAATTTCCAAATTCACCCATAAGGCAGTGTTTTGTGGTGAAAGAGCTGAGGGCTGAGATCCGTGTGTGATGGTTTCTGGTTCTATTTCTGCCACCCCCTGGCTCTGCCAAGTGACCCTGCCAAGTCTCCTTACCTGTTCAGATGTGTTTTCTTATATGTAAAATGTTGGTTTTGAACTTGGATTTGTGGTCTTTCCAGCTTTCTGTGATTTTAGGCTTGGATAAAGTATGTAGGCTGCTTACCTTTTTCAAATCCAACTTCTAGTCAATTTAGCCTAACTCCTTGTGGAGTAAGAGTGAGCTTTCCCCAGAATCCACCTCTCCACCCTGCCTTTTTAAAAAAGTTTTGAGCCTCAGTGGAACAAGATTCCCAATCTTTGGAAGGGTCTCAGCTGAGAGTAACTTTGCTAGCTTCCCTTGAAAGAGTATGTTTGTTGTGTACCTTGCTTTCTTTTGAGAAAAAGAATGTGGTTTTCATTATATATGAAAAACTAATACCAGGCTTGGCACGGTGGCTCACACCTGTAATCCCAGCACTTTGGGAGGCCGAGGCAGGTGGATCACCTGAGGTCAGGAGTTCAAGACGAGCCTGGCCAACATGGCAAAGCCCTGTCTCTACTAAAAATGCAAAAATTAATCAGGCAGGCTGGTGCACACCTGTAATCCCAGCTACTCAGGAGACTGAGGCAGAAGAATCGCTTGAACCTGGGAGGTGGAGGTTGCATTGAGCTGAGATTGCACCACTGCACTCCAGCCTGGGTGACAGAGCAAGACTCCATCTAAAAAAAAAAACAAAAAAATTGATACCAGTCCCTCTAATATTTAATGAAAAATCAGCCTTGGAGGTACTGGCCACTGATACTTACTGAATTTAATCAAGGAACATTGATTAGAGTATGTTTAGGACTTTTATGGTTTTTAGAGGTTTTTTAATACTATTTTGTTCTTGCACATCCTTCTCCTCTCTTTTCCCTCCCCCAGAGAAAATCTTTTGTGTGTAGGAGTTGACCAGCTTTCCTTTTCTGTTTCAGGATGCAATTCGAAGTCACAGCGAATCAGGTACTTTTCCGTAGTCATTTAGCCAACAATAATGGCCTTTTTTTCTTTATACGGTGTTATCTTCTGTTGGCTTATCCTTGTGTGGATTCTGTTTGTCTTGTCTATTAAGCCTCACCTTCAGCCCTGTCCAGTAGCCCCAACAATCTGAGCCCAACAGGCTGGTCACAGCCGAAAACACCCGTGCCAGCACAAAGAGAGCGGGCACCAGTATCTGGGACCCAGGAGAAAAACAAAATTGTGAGTATAGAAACAGTACCTCCTGCCAATTAGGGTTCAGTAAGAAAAACCTCGTTGGAAATTAGAATACTTTTAACTTACTTTGGGAGAGGATTCTAATAAAGTATATTTAATGAAGGAGATTATAAATGTCACTGTCATTTTTGGCACACTTGCATCAGACAGCTTGCCAGTGCTTTAACTGAAATGGTATTTCTCAAAAGACAAAAATTGGAATTGTGGTTAATATGTTTATCTTTAAAAGATATGGAAACAGATGACATGGGTTGATCTTTTCTTTGATGCCCTCATTATCAAAAGATTATTACTGTTGCATGGAGTATAATAATGATCTCTACTTGTTTCAGAGGCCTCGTGGACAGAGAGATTCAAGCTATTACTGGGAAATAGAAGCCAGTGAAGTGATGCTGTCCACTCGGATTGGGTCAGGCTCTTTTGGAACTGTTTATAAGGGCAAATGGCATGGTAAGCTTGGGGCCTTCCGTTTACTTACTGCAGGGCTTTGGTGTGAAGTCAAGTTTCAGCTCAGGGGGCCAGGAGGAAGAGAAGACTGAGTGCTTCTGGGCTTACAGCAGTACTCTCCCTTAGATACTTGGTTATACTTGAAGATTGAGCTTAATTCTTTTTAGACTAGGTTCTTATAAAGCTCCCAGGATAATTAGAAATTAGTGAATAAGATTTGAGCCCTATAATCAAATGTCAGGAGTGCTTCTCCTTTAAACTGATTAAATACAGTCTGCACATGGGTCATGCTTGGAAGCTCCTTAAGTGAGCAAGAGTCTGCTGCTATGGAGGGAGCTTGGGTTCTAAAAACTGTAAGCTGGAAAGGACCTTAGAGATTGAAATGGGGGCTGATTTGCCCACGGTCATGCAGTTAGGCATAAGAAAGCTGGAAATCTCCTGAAATAACTCCTCTTTGTCCCGCCCTAGGATTAGTTGTGGGTATCCCTATCAAACAGGGAAGGCATAGACTTAATTATTGAATCTATGTGGAATATTAGTGTTCTTATTTTAATGGAAACACTTTGTCACTTGGAAGAAAGGTACTATTTAACTTCTGTAGTTACAGCTTGTGTATTTTGGCAACACTCAACATTTTGGCAACATACTTAGCATTTCTCTGTTAGGTTTTTAATGCCTCTGGCTTTAGGACTTTGGCAAATAATAGGTATTTTCTTGAAAATGCTGCATGTTCCCAAAAAGTCATCTCTTCTAAATTCAGATTACAATAAAGCAAAAATCACAGAGTCCCTCAGTGCCTGTACTTCTACTTTGGATGACACTGGAATTATCTTTAGAGATAAATGTACAAATGTGCAAAGATTGAGAGAAGTTAAAAGCATCAAATGAATGGAGTATTAAAATTCAAGGTACTGAAAATATCAAACACCTCCAGTTTTGAGTACTTGGTGTTCTTTTTTTTTGGAGATAGATTCTTGCTCTGTTGCCCAGGCTGGAGTACAGTGGTACAATCACAGCTCACTGCAGTCTTCAATTCTTGGGCTCAAACAATCCTTCCTAAGCCTCCCAAGTAGCTGGGAGCACAGGTGAATGCCCAGCTAATATTTTTTTATTTTTTGTAGAGACAAGGTCTATGCCCAGACAATGACCAGCTAATATTTTTTTTTATTTATTATAGAGACAGCTAATATTTTTTAATTTTTTTTTATTTTTTGTAGAGACAAGGTCTCACTATGTTGCCCAGGCTGGTCTCCAACTCCTGGACTCAAGCAGTCCTCTTGGGTCTCAAAATGCTGGGATTACAGGCATGAGCCACTGTGCCCAGCCTTACCTTGTGCTCTTTAATGCATGGTTTTTACCACTTGTAATTTACCATGCTCATTAATGCATGGGTTTTCACCATTTGTAATTAATCATCTGACCAATTTCTAGTTCCTTAAGAGGATTGGCACCCGACTGAACATTTGTAAAGTACATGTGGAATGATTCCTTTTCCTTTGAAAATTGCATCTGGCCGGGCAGGGTGGCTCACGCCTGTAATCCCAGCACTTTGGGAGGCTGAGGCAGGCAGATCACTTGAGCCTAGGAGTTCAAGAACAGCCTGGGCAACATCGTGAAATCCCGTCTCTACCAAAAATTAGGTGGATATGGTGGCACTCGCCTGTAGTCCCAGCTACTCGGGAGTCTGAGGCAGGAAGATTGCTTGAGCTCAGGAGGCGAATGTTGTAGTGAGCTGAGTACAGTGAGTACACACTACTGTACTCCAACCTGGGTGAAAGGGCAAGACCCTGTCTCAGAAAAAAAAAAAAAAAAAGAAAATTGCATCTAGTATGTACTACCGGGCTGCCTCCCGGGTCCCAGAGAAATGATACTATTGTAGAATATTTATTTATATATACTTAGAGACAAGATCTGGCTCTGTTGCCCAGACTGGAGTACTGTGGCACAATCTTGGCTTACTGCAGTCTCTGCCTCCTGGGCTCAAGCCAGCCATCCTCCTGCCTTAGCCTCCCAAGTAGTTGGGACTATAGGCACATGCCACCACACCCGGCTAATTTTTGTATTTTTTGTAGAGATGGGGTTTCGCCTTGTTTCCCAGACTGGTCTTGAAATCATGAATTCAAGCGATCCGCCTGCCTCGGCCTCCCAAAGTACTGGTATTGCAGGCATGAGCCACCATGCCCAGCCAGTTGCAGAATATTTTAGATGGCATAAATATCTCCAGGATTCCTTAGGAAAGAAGAACACAAGCACTTTGTGGGATAGAGCACTTACTTGTATCTGAGATAACAAGGCTGCTAGTAATTGTAGGAGGCAGAGCAATGGATATTGCATTTATTGCTTCTGTTAGCATTTGATCATTTTTATATCACATTTTAAAAGCCCCAGCTAAAAGCCAGCGGATGAAGTTTAAGTTGTACCCAAGTTTAATTTTCCTCTGGTTGAGCACTTTTATTTGGGGATTCATAAGTCTTCAAGGTATTACTACGTGGTACTGCTTCCGAACTTTGTCTTCTCTCAATAGGGTGAGCTTTCAAACTGTGATAAAGATTATTTGTTACAGTGTTACTTCCATAAAGACTGCTATTAGAATGTAGATAACTTGTTTTTAAGATTCTAGGATTTTTTAGGCCAGGTGCAGTGGCTCACGCCTGTAATCCCAGCACTTTGGGAGGCTGAGGTGGGCTGATAATGAAGTCAGGAGATCGAGACCATTCTAGCTAACACGGTGAAACCCCGTCTCTACTAAAAATACAAAAAATTAGCTGGGTGTGGTGGGGGCGCCTATAGTCCCAGCTACGCGTGAGGCTGAGGCAGAAGAATGGCCTGAACCCAGGAGGCAGAGCTTGCAGTGAGCCGAGATCGTGCCACTGCACTCCAGCCTGGGTGACAGAGCGAGACTCCGTCTCAAAAAAAAAAAAAGACTAGGTTTTTTAAGTCAGAGAGTCTCAAAAGTCAGAGGAGTGAGGAGCAGTGGACTTTTATGCCATGCTTTCAGAAAGCAAGCCCTGGTCTATGAATGAAGAAGAAAAATGAGTGGTCAAGGAAACATAATTTCTAGATTGTTTCGTGCAATACTTTTTTCCCCCCATATTCTGGTTCCTGTATACAATATATCTGTTCAGTATCTTAAAAATTACAACTGTTTTCATGATTTTGATTGAAGATTTTTTTAACTCAGCCCAGCCACTGTAGAAGTAAAGCAGAAAGGGTCTCAAAGCAACTCAGAGGCCTCAGATGCATAAACTAAAACTCAACATATTTAAAGCGGCATCTCTGAGGCCCAAAGTTCACAACCTCCTTTTGAGCATTAAATTTGGCATCAAGCCTGGGTGCGGTGGCTCATGCCTGTAATCCCAGCACTTTGGGAGGCCAAGGCAGGCATATCATTTGGGGTCAAGAGTTCAAGACTAGCCTGACTGAAATGGTGAAACCCTGTCTCTGATAAAAATATAAAAATTAGCCGGGCGTGATGGTGCGCACCTGTAATCCCAGCTACTTAGGAGGCTGAGGTAGGAGAATTGCTTGAACCCGGGAGGTGGAGGTTGCAGTAAGCCAAGATCACACCACTGCACTCCAGCCTGGGCAACAGAACAAGATGCTTTCTCTCCAAAAAAAAAAAAAAACTTAAGGACTTGATACTCTTAGCGGGGACAGTAAACAAGAAAAGCAGAATATATAGTGTGCTGTAATTGCTAAAGAGAAAAATGGAGGAAAGGAGATATGCACTGGCAGTCCCAGTTCAAAGTTTTTAGTAGGTTGGTCAGGGAGGAATCTGCCAAGAAAGTGGCATTTGCATGGAGGGTGAGGGTGGTGCAGATATCTAGGGAAGCAGCAACATCAAGTGCAAAGTGGACCATTCACCTGGCCTGTTCAGAGAACTCAAGGAGATCTTACGACTTCATTTAGAGTGAGTGAGAGGTAGACTAATAGGATTGAGGTCCAGTGGTAGGGTGTTTTAGGGTCCTATAAAGACTGAGTATCATTTGGGTTAAGTGGGATCCGGGGTCATACGAGACTTTTAGGAGGTTTGGCCAGCCTTTGTTTGAAAATGAGTGTGATGAGAGAGCTCATGATCTGTCTGAAAGCCCATTCTATCTCCAGGTAGTTCCTACTAGTAGAAAATAGTTCTTAATTGGTTGCAGTTGCCCACATATAATTGGTTGCAGTGGCCAAACAGTTTAGGAGGCTGAGGCGGGAGAATACTTGAGGTCAGGAGTTTGAGACCAGCCTGGGCAACATGAGACCCTCGTCTCTACAAAAAATTTTAAAAATTAGCTGGGCGTGGTGGTGCACACCTGTATTGTAGTCCCAGTTACTTGGGAGGCTGAGGTGGGAGGATTCCTTGAGCCCAGGAGTTTGAGGCTGCAGTGAGTCATGATGGTGCTGCTGCACTGCAGTCTCGGTGACAGAGCAAGAGCCAGGGTGGGGCAAGGGGCGGGCATGGAATAGTTCTTTATTAGAGTTGAAATCCATTTTCCTATAATGTTTGCTCATTGATCCTAGCAGATTGAATGAATCCCTTTCGTGGCAGTCCTTGGATTGTTTATATGTAAATGAGGGGAATGCTGCAGTATAGAACATTGCTTCTGGATTTCATAAGAAATTGCAAATAATCTATTACCATAACTATGTTAACGAGAGCTGGCTGGCAGATGGATCTCTGCAAGTACCATGGGCTCTGTCTTTGGTTGACCCTGTTTGGTCTTCCCATCAGTGACTTAACCAGAGGTGTGATATGTATTTGCACAGTAGTGAGGATTTAGAAAAGCGAGAAGAGTTCAACTGGCTAAGATGACAGAAAAAAGAAAAGATCAACTTTTAACAGAGATAAGTCCTATTTGTTGTTCCAAAAAGTTGAACTGGAGGGGGAAGATGTGGCTTAATGATAATGCTTGTGGAAACTGCTAAGGAAGTTCAGCCGACTACAAGGTCAGAGTAAGTCACTGCGTGAACTTTGGCTCTGAATTCTGAGGTTGTATTACTGATTAGGGCCAGAACAGGTGACACCAGAGGGTGGGTTCAGTGACAACTAGAGCATGCCCAGAGGAGAGCTATAAGAAGGAATGGACTGCAAAACGAGGCCTATGAAATAGGAAGGTCCTTAGAAGCAGTTCCCCCTGAGCAATCATCCAGTATCTGCCAAGCCATGTGCCTGAACCCCTAGCCCTGTCCTATCCCATCCCATTAAAGACTCTGCCCTTTTCTGGGTCCTGGAGCCTGGGTCATAGCGTTGGCCATTTTCCCAGCACTCCCACTCAGTTGACTGCCTCATTGGGTCAGTTTACCTTCACAGGGTTTCTTGTCTTCATCCCTTCTTTCTAAGTCCCCACAGTCACCCATTGTGCTTGTACTTTTCCTGGGCTATTGCAGCAGATTCCTCTGTGGCCTCCCTCTTTCTGTCCTACAGGTGTCCAAATCCTACCCTAGAGTTTACTAAACACAGCTCAGGTTTCTCTCATCCCCCTCACCTCTCCTTTATTTCTGATGTGCCCAGTCTGAAACGTTCTCTCCTATTTACTAAAGTCCTTCCCTTGGTTTATATCCTATTTCTTTCAGAAAACCTTTCTATATCCTCTTGGAAAAGAGATTTACTTAGGCACCTGTAGTCCCAGCTACTTGGAAGGCTGAGGTCTGAAGATTGCTTGAGCCCAGGAGTTTGAGGCCAGCCTAGGCAACATAGTGAGGCCCCATCTCCAAAAAAGAAAAAAAAAAAAAAAAGATTTACTCCCCCATCTTGGGGAACCCCTTCTGTTCCAGCACTCCTGTCTTGGCTCCAACTGTACCGGAATGGACACTTACGCAAAAGATTGTTGTCCTCCTACTCAGGGCTGGTTATACATGTGTCCCATATGGCATACCAGATCCATTTTTCTAGATAGAAGGTAGCTTTAAACATAGTGTGGATCTCTCCCATCCAGTCAACAGCACCTTCACCGGCAGCCCATGGCCCATGGTCCATGGTAAACACATGTGCAGGTTAACTGGATGAGAGCCACTTTGGAGGCTGCTGTTAAAACACAGGGACTCATTAAAACTTTAGATGATAAAACCAGAGATCACGGGGAGACAGTTTGGTACCTATTGTGAGAACCATCTCTCTACCAATTTTCTTCCCAAAAATGAAATGTGGAGGGCTGGGTGAGGTGGCTCACGCCAGTAATCCCAGCACTCTGGGAGGCTGAGGCAGGCAGATCCTTTGAGGTCAGAAGTTTGAGACCAGCCTGGGCAACATGGTGAAAACCTGTCTCCCCAAAAAATACAAAAATTAGCTGGGCATGGTGGAGCACGCCTGTAATTCCAGCTACTCGGGAGGCTGAGGCAGGAGAATCGCTTGTGGAGGTTGCAGTGAGCCGAGATTGTGCCACTGCATTCCAGCCTGGATGACAGAGCAAGACTCCATCTCAAAAAAAAAAAAAAAAAAAAAAAAAAAAAAAAAAAAAAATAGAGGAAGGCTCCAACAGAGAGGCTCCAGAAACACTTTCGAAAATGGCTTTTGGCCGGGCACAGTGACTCACGCCTGTAATCCCAGCACTTTGGGAGGCTGAGGCGGGTGGATCACAACGTCAGGATATTGAGACCATCCTGGCTAACACGGTGAAACCCTGTCTCTACTAAAAATACAAAAACAAAAAACAAAAAAAAAAAAATTAGCCAGGCGTGGCGGCGGGCGCCTGTAGTCCCCAGCTACTTGGGAGGCTGAGGCAGGAGAATGGTGTGAACCCGGGAGGCAGACCTTGCAGTGAGCCGAGATTGCGCCACTGCACTCCAGCCTGGGTAACTGAGTGAGACTCCGTCTCAGGAAAAAAAAAAAAAAAAAAAAGTGGCTTTTAAATTTATAGCACTCGAAAGTGGAACGGGATCCCTGGATGTGTCTAAAGTTATATCAAGAGGCTGGTTTTACAGTGCTTGACAGTCAGTTGTCAGTATAGTAGGTAGGATAGCAACTGGAGTCAGACTGGGGTTTTGATCCTGGCTGCAGCACTCTTTGTTTTTTGACTGTATGACCTTGGGCAAGTGACTAAACTTCTCTGCTTGTTGTCTGAAGTGAAGATAAATTATTTACGTCATAGGGCAGCTGTGAGGATTAAAAGAGATAAAAGTACACACAATGCCAGGGTTCAGTATTATTAGGATTACTTTTTAATGGTATTGAAGGCAGAGAAGCTTAATTTCAATATATATCTCTGAATTTTTCCTAGTGACTATCTTAGGTCTCACTGAAATGTGGATTCAGAGTTCAGCCTCAGTAGTTGCTAAATGGTCTGCTTCCTTACACCAGCATCCAGCCCCAGCCATTCTGTATTTGCCAGGCCATTCATATCCATGCACTGATTTCATCCCCACAGGACAAGGTTTTGACCTGTCACACATGACTTCCTGTCTGGGGCTTGCCAGGATTGGTATGAATAGTTTAACCAAGACTATTGAAGGCCTAACTGTAGGGATAGCAGTTAACCTATGTAACTTTTTTGAGTCATTTGAATTATGTAGAAATTGGACCTGTAATCCCAGCACTTTGGGAGGCCAAGGTGGGAGGATTGCTTAAGCCCAGGAGGTCAAGGCCGCTGTGTGCCACTGCGTGCCACTGCACTCTAGCCTAGACAACAGAGTGAGACCCTGTCTCAAAAAAAAATTTTGGAGATTTGTTGTGTCTGTGTAGGTATGTGATTCTTTGGATAAATGATTCACTGTATCTTCTTCAAAACTAGGTTATTTGAAAGACTAAGATCAACTGATTGCACTGATTGCCAACTAATTTTGCAGGAGATGTTGCAGTAAAGATCCTAAAGGTTGTTGACCCAACCCCAGAGCAATTCCAGGCCTTCAGGAATGAGGTGGCTGTTCTGCGGTGAGTACAAAGCTGGCAGTCCAGTCCCTCTGGAGTGCTAGAGTGGGGGTACAAGGACTGCAGAGTTAGTGGACTGTGCCGCGGGTTGGGATGGGCGGGCAGTTAGGACTCACTGTGGAGTTCCTGTGGTTGGATGCTCCTCCCTTCAGAGCAAGGGATCTTTCCTTTAGTTTATGTGGCTGTCAGGCCTTTCAAAGAGCCCCTTCTCAGGAGAATACCCTCCTCTGGGCACAGTAAACTCGATAGCCCAAGTTCTATCTCTGGGTTTTGGTTTGAGGTGGGCAGAAATAGGCCCTGTTTTTACCTTTATTTCCCAGAACCCTCTTTATAGCTGAGTTGCTTTATTTTAGACTTCAGAACAGTCAGCTTTCAAATCTTTCAGTCACTATTTAGACTTGTAGGAATAAGTCATATAATGGAGATTTCTACAGAGGAGTCCTTGTGACCTCCACGGGGAGGGTCATGGAGTGTACATTGATGGAAGAGAATGTCATCTCTGTAAGCAAGGCCAGCACTGAACTGATGGCCCAGTGAACTAATGGTGCGCATTTCTGTTTGCTCAGAATGCCACCTGGGTTATCAGCCATGCCATGTGTTTGTTTTTCTAGCCCCCTCCAGGTTGGGACTGGGGGTGGTGTCAAGAGCACAGAACCCAGTGTCCACGGAAAAGCACAGTAGACCTCTCTGAGCACTTTCCTCCTCCCTCTCCTCTCTTCACCTCCCCAGCAAAACACGGCATGTGAACATTCTGCTTTTCATGGGGTATATGACAAAGGACAACCTGGCAATTGTGACCCAGTGGTGCGAGGGCAGCAGCCTCTACAAACACCTGCATGTCCAGGAGACCAAGTTTCAGATGTTCCAGCTAATTGACATTGCCCGGCAGACGGCTCAGGGAATGGAGTGAGTAGATGGTCTGATGCCTTTCTGGGACCCAGGCATCAAATTTGTCCCTAAATTGGAACCAGAATCAGGAAAAGCCTTCTAGTCCATTAAGCAATTCTGTGATATCTTTGTGTAAGCCTCTGGCCTTGGCTGGAGGGGCCAGTTATCAGGAATGAGTTGTTCAGGTTCCAGCTGGGTGAGGTGGCTCACACCTGTAATCCCAGCACTTTGGGAGGCGAAGGCCAGTGGATCACTTGAGGCCAGTAGTTCGAGACCAGCCTTGCCAACATGGCAAAACCCTGTTTCTACTAAAAATACAAGAAATAACCAGGCATGGTGGCACATGCCTGTAATCCCAGCTACTAAGGAGGCCGGGACAGGAGAATCGTTTGAACGTGGAAGACAGAGGTTGCGTTGAGCTAAGATCACACTACTGCACTCCAGCCTGGGCTGCAGAGCGAGACTCTGTCTCAAAGAAAAAAAAAAGTTCAGATTCCCCTGTTGGGACTGAACTTCCCCCTTGGCGCTTCCCCCTTGGGGCTCAGATTCGGGCTCTGCCTGCTACCCTCACTTTAGCAGAAACCTGAGAACATAGTGGGGGGCATGTATCTTCTGCTTTGGATAGCTGTGGCAATGCCCTCTGCTCAGCTGTTTGAGGCATGGCTGTCCCACATGAGGGTTTAAACAGATGTCATTTTTTGTTTTGTTTTGTTTTTTTAATTAAAAACTTTTTCCTGGCCGGGCACGGTGGCTCACGCCTGTAATCCCAGCATTTTGGGAGGCTGAGGTGGGTGGATCACGAGGTCAGGAGTTCAAGACCAGTCTCACCAATATGGTGAAATTCCATCTCTACTAAAAATACAAAAATTAGCTGGTTGTGGTGGCACGCGCTTGTAATCCCAGCTACTCAAGAGGCTGAGACAGAAGAATCGCTTCAACCTGGGAGGTGGAGGTTGCAGGGAGCGGAAGTCATGCCCCTCCCCCCCAGCCGCGGGGAAAAAACCCAAACAAAAAAAAAAAAAAAAAAAAAAAAAAAAAAAATTATTAGAGAGACAGGGTCTCACTCTGTTACCTATCCTAGAGTGTAGTGGCACGATCATAGCTCACTCCATCCTCGAACTCCTGGGCTCCAGCAATCCTCTTAGCTCAGTCTCATAGGTTGCTGGGACGGCAGGCATACGCTACCATGCCCAGCTAATTTTCGTGTATTTTGTAGAGTTGGGAGTCTCACTGTGTTGCCCAGACTGGTCTCAAACTAGCCTCAAGTGATCCTCCCACCTTTCCTGGCTAGCCCAGGGTAGTGCTTCTCAAACTTTTCCTCAGAAGTGCCCCTTATGGTAGAGGAGTAGGAACTCCTTGTACCCCCCTAGACATCTGGGAGCTACTAAGATATAGCTGTGCTTGCAAGTCCTACAGAAATTCTCATATTATCTTTAAAATTCATATGGAAGTTGCCTTTTGTATATTTTAAGAAATGGAATGACTTTTCAGAAAAATTGAGATATAATTCATATATCATAAAATTCCCCCTTTTAAAATGTACACCTCCGTTTTTCTGGTATTGTGTTGTGCAGCCATCACCACTATCTAATTTTAGAACATTTTCATTATCCAGGAAAGAAATATATGCCATTGTATTAGTCTGTTTGGGTTGCTCTAAAGGAAGACTTACGGGTGGGTAATTTATAAAGAAAAGAGGTTTATTTGGCTCATGGTTCTGCAGACTGTACAAAAAGCATGACATCAGCATCTGTGTCTGGTGAGGCCCTCAGGAAGCTTTTACTCATGGCAGAAGGCAAGGGGAGCTACATGTGACGTGGTGAGAGAAAGGAGCAAGAGAGAGAGCATGGAGGGAGGTCCCAAACTCTTTAATAACCAGGTTTCATGTGAACTAATAGCATGTGAATTAATAGTGTGTGAACTCACTTGTTACTGCAGGGAGGGCACCCAGCCATTCGTGAGGAATTCGTCCCTATGACCCAAACACCTGCCACTTGGGTCCCACCTCCAACACTGGGGATCACATTTCAACTTGAGATTTGGAGTGGACAGATATCCAAATGATATACCCATTAGCGGTCACCCAATACCTCTCACCCACTTGCAACTATTTTCTGTTTCTATGGATTTTGCCTACTTTATAGTTTAATATAAATGCAATCATGTAAGATATGATGATATAATATAAAGATATATATAATGATATAGGAAGGTAGTCCCACAAGATTATAATACTGTATTTTTACTGTGCCTTTTCTATGTTTGGTTTTATTTATTTATTTATTTATTTTGAGATGGAGTCTCGCTCTGTCGCCTAGGCTGGAGTGCAGTGGCGCCATCTCGGCTCACTGCAAGCTCTGCCTCCCGGGTTCATGCCATTCTCCTGCCTCAGCCTCCTGAGTAGCTGGGACTACAGGCGCCCGCCACCGCGCCTGGCCAATTTTTTGTATTTTTAGTAGAGACGGGGTTTCACCGTGTTAGCCAGGATGATCTCGTTCTCCTGACCTTGTGATCTGCCCGCCTCACCCTCCCAAAGTGCTGGGATTAAAGGCATGAGCCACTGCGCCCGGCTTATGTTTGGCTATGTTTAGAGACACAAATACTTACCATGTTACAACCAGCTACAGTATTCAGTACACTGAGGGCCATAGAGGTTTGTAGCCTAAGTGCAACAGGCTATACCATTTAGCCAGGGTGTGTAGTAGGCTGTACCATCTTGGTTTGTGTAAGTACACTTTATGACGTTTGCATGATAACAAGTTGGCTAACAACACATTTCTCAGAAGATATCCCTGCCGTTAAGTGATGCTTGACTGTGTATAATACATAAGATATGGTATTGTATGCCTGGGCACTTTGACCCAGTTTAATATTTTCAAGATTAATCCAGGTTGTAGCATGTGTCACTACTTCATTCCTTTCTGAGTAACATGTCATTGTATGGATATGCCACATTATTCATTCATCAGTTATGGACATTGGGTTATCAGAATTACTTTTGAGTAAAACTGATGCTTGAAGAAGTGTCAGCAATGGTCAGGTGCAGGGGCCCATGCCTGTAATCCAAGCACTTTGGGAGGCCAACGCGGGAGGATCACTTGAGCCCAGGAGTCAAGACCAGCTTGGGCAACACTGCAAGACCCTGTATCTACCAAAAAAAAAAAAAAAAAATGTGGTGTGGTGGCACATGCCTGTGGTCCCAGCTACTGGGAGGTGGGAGGATCACTTGAGCCCAGGAGGTTAAGGCTGCAGTGAGCTATGACTGCATCACTACACTCCAGTCTCCAGGAAAAAAAAAAAAAAAAAAGTGTAAGCATGTTTGTACTGTGGCCTCACTTTCAGGTAAGCAGTGATGTGAACCAGGCTGAACAGCACAGCATCTGTCCCTGTGTGTAACACTCCTTGGAGCCAGACCTTCAGTGGCTTTACTTCTTAGCTGTAGTTTAAAACTGCTTTCTACCCATGCCCCTCAAACTTATTTTTAATAATTTCTTTTCCCTTCACAGCTATTTGCATGCAAAGAACATCATCCACAGAGACATGAAATCCAACAGTATCCTTTGGTTGTTGAGTTCATTTGACTGCTCAGTTCTAAATTTAGGGAAACAGAAGAGAGCCTTTTTGTCACAAGTGGCTGTCGGTGCCGGGGATATCTTTTTAAGGAAAGAGGAAGAGGACAGGAAAACAGAAAAGTCAGAAAATTAGTAGGCTTGGCCTGCCCCTCAGCAGCTTATGCCTCACCTGGGCTGATGAGAGCGATGTTTAGGTTAGGTTCCTTTCTGAGTTTATCTCAGCAAAAGTGATTTGGAGAGATTTCCGAACTTGAAATAGGTATAATTTTATCACACTATTAGTAAATTTAACCTGAGGGGGATTGGGCTTTTGTCTTATGTTTATTTCTAGTTTGCGGCCAGTGTGTGTATGTGTATCTACTTGTTATGTGGATACCAAGTAGCTACAAGCCAGATGTTGAAAGATTTCCAAAATCACTATTTAAAATGGTCTTTCTTGACGAGGCGTGATGGCTCACACCTATAATCCCAGCACTTAGGGAGGCTGAGGCAGGCGGATCACTTGAGGCTAGGAGTTTGAGACCAGCCTGGCCAATGTGGCGAAACCCCGTCTCTTAAATTTAAAAATTAGCTGGGTGTGGTGGCACGTGCTTGTAATCCCAGCTACTCAGGAGGCTGAGGCATGAGAATCACTTGAACCTGGGAGGCAGAGGTTGTAGTGAGCTGAGATCATGCCACTGCACTCTAGCCTTGGGGACAGAGCAAGGCTCTGTCTCAAAAAAAGTAAATAAAATGATCTTTCTCAAAGGTACATAAGTGGGTTCCTCAGAAGTCACTGTTACAAGAGGAGAGGGGTGGTTTTTATAGAAGAGTAAATGAAGAAAGGTATTTTTAATGCTGTAAGGCATGAAATTTAACAAATTTGAATCTGCCACCCTCCACTAGCCTTTCCTTGTGAAAGAAAGATGGCATTACAACCCACTTTTCTTCTTGAGCAGTGAGAGAGGCATCACAGTTGTGTTGGATTATGGGACATGGCCTGTTTTAGGTACATGTCTGAGGTGTGGAACACCTTTCAATGGTGGGCGTTTTAGCAGCCAAACATTATACCATGAAAGCAGACACCACAGATTTAAGGTGTGAATTCCTGGGCACCAACAGATCACAAGTTACTTTGTATGTGGTTTTTTTTTTCTCTTTTTAAATTTTTTTTCCCCTCACAAGTTAGACTTAAACTGTATGACTTCTTTACCCAGAAGCGAGCTGACTTCGGTTCTCATTTTGAAGTCACCGGGTGGTACCAATTCTAGTGAGGAATTTCTTATGACAACATTGAGCACTCAGTAAGGGATTTGCTATTTTGTCAACCACTCAAGTTTCAGATGGTGATTTGAGGGCGGAATACAGGCAGAAACGACTGTAAGCTGTCAGCAGGCCATGCTTGGCCCTTTGGGGAGCACTGGAGTGTGGCCTCTGCTCATCGTGTTAGGGTTTCAAGCACCTGTATTATGTGGAAAGGTCACAAGGCCAGGGACCCAGCACCTAGACGTGCAAATGGGGAGAAGCAGCAGAGAAGAAACGCTGGCTTGCTTTTGGCTTGGGCCAAATAATCTGGCACATTGACCAATCCCTGCCTGTCTTCTGGAAGAAGGGGCATTTCAAAAGCACTTTAAAGAACTTCAGAAACCTTAGGAAATTCAGTGCAGAGGCTGTGACAGAGGGAAGGTGGAGAGATTACCATGTTATAAAGAACTTTGGGATGTTTTTCAAAATTAACTTGACCATTCTTTTGAAACCAGAGTCCTTAACAAGCATTGAGATATATTTCTCCATGAAGGCCTAACAGTGAAAATTGGAGATTTTGGTTTGGCAACAGTAAAGTCACGCTGGAGTGGTTCTCAGCAGGTTGAACAACCTACTGGCTCTGTCCTGTGGATGGTGAGAATCTGGGCTCCCACCAGCAGTCTCTGGTACAGGGCAAAGGGAATGCCCTGGGGATTTACGTGCAAACTTTTAAAGAGTTTCTGTACATTTCCCCGAAATCCACATGACCCCTAGTGACAGCCAGCCTCAGCCTCAGGGCAATTGTAGATTTTCTTGAAGAAGCTATTGATCAGAACCACTGTGAAGCTTAGTGTGGAGAGGAGATAATAAGCTGGGTGATAGAAGTGCTGGGTCTTGGTCCTTTAAAGATAAGGATTCCTGAGCTGTTTTACCCAGTGCCTGAGTTGGAGTCCTTTGGGGGAAAAACTATGTGGGGACTGAAGAATGGACTCATTCATAACTAATGAAAGGGACAGCCTGGGTCCTAGATGTCTGTAAGGTCTGTCATATGGTGATAAATGCACTTTTGTCATATGGTGATAAATGTAGGCCCCAGAGGTGATCCGAATGCAGGATAACAACCCATTCAGTTTCCAGTCGGATGTCTACTCCTATGGCATCGTATTGTATGAGCTGATGACGGGGGAACTTCCTTACTCTCACATCAACAACCGAGATCAGGTGAGTCTCTGCCGGTGCTAAAGGTCCTAACGTGTGGGAGCCCTTGGGCCTCTCCCAGCCTAGGCAGCTAGAGGATGTTAAAGAGACTTGATATTTTCTGTAGTTCATTTACCCCCCATTCGCTCAGCTGTTTTCTTTCCCTTAGATCATCTTCATGGTGGGCCGAGGGTATGCCTCCCCAGATCTTAGTAAGCTATATAAGAACTGCCCCAAAGCAATGAAGAGGCTGGTAGCTGACTGTGTGAAGAAAGTAAAGGAAGAGAGGCCTCTTTTTCCCCAGGTAAGGCTCAGGGCTGCTAGAATGGTTATTAAAGCATGGATTGGTTCTTAAAGATGGCAATGTAAGGTGGGAGTATTTTTTGTTTTGTTTTATAGGGAGGGGACCCAGATCCTCTACAAGATGGTTGGGGGCAGGGTACAGCCTGTGTCTTTGAGACACAGCTAATGAGAGCATTCTGGGGCTTTGTTTCAGATCCTGTCTTCCATTGAGCTGCTCCAACACTCTCTACCGAAGATCAACCGGAGCGCTTCCGAGCCATCCTTGCATCGGGCAGCCCACACTGAGGATATCAATGCTTGCACGCTGACCACGTCCCCGAGGCTGCCTGTCTTCTAGTTGACTTTGCACCTGCCCTCAGGCTGCCAGGGGAGGAAGAGAAGCCAGCAGGCACCACTTTTCTGCTCCCTTTCTCCAGAGGCAGAACACATGTTTTCAGAGAAGCTGCTGCTAAGGACCTTCTAGACTGCTCACAGGGCCTTAACTTCATGTTGCCTTCTTTTCTATTCCTTTGGGCCCTGGGAGAAGGAAGCCATTTGCAGTGCTGGTGCGTCCTGCTCCCTCCCCGCATCCCCCATGCTCAAGGCCCAGCCTTCTCTAGATGCGCAAGTGGATGTTGATGGTAGTACAAAAAGCAGGGGCCCAGCCCAGCTGTTGGCTACATGAGTATTTTGAGGAAGTAAGGTAGCAGGCAGTCCAGCCCTGATGTGTAGACACATGGGATTTTGGAAATCGGCTTCTGGAGGAATGCATGTCACAGGCGAGACTTTCTTCAGAGAGTGGTGCAGCACCAGACGTTTTGCACATAAGGCACCAAACAGCCCAGGACTGCCGAGACTCTGGCTGCCCGAAGGAGCCTGCTTTGGTACTATGGAACTTTTCTTAGGGGACACATCCTCCTTTCACAGCTTCTAAGGTGTCCAGTGCATTGGGATGGTTTTCCAGGCAAGGCACTCAGCCAGTCCCCATCTCGGCCCTCTCAGGGAGCAGTCTTCCATCATGCTGAATTTTGTCTTCCAGGAGCTGCCCCTATGGGGCGGGGCCGCAGGGCCAGCCTTGTTTCTCTAACAGCCTTGTTTCTCTAGTCACATCATGTGTATACAAGGAAGCCAGGAATACAGGTTTTCTTGATGATTGGGTTTTAATTTTGTTTTTATTGCACCTGACAAAATACAGTTATCTGATGGTCCCTCAATTTTATGTTATTTTAATAAAATAAATTAAATTTAGGTGTAATGGCTGTTACCTCCTTTTAAAGTAATTCTGAGCTCACAATTTGAGCGCCCCATTTGTTCACCCTCTTCAGGAGCAAATTGAAGAACAGGAAATGTGCCCAGAGCCTAGGCTGGGAATGAAATTTTAATTTAACCTTTGTACTCTTTGTAACCCTCTACTGAAGAAGAGTCAAGTATAAAAATTAAGCAGAAAGTATTCTAAACTCAGCTAATAGGTTAAGTAATGCGTTCTATAAAATATTGTGGTAGCTACAGCTTTAAAAAAAAAAAAAATAGATAAATTCCAGCTTGGAACAAGCCAGTGCTAGTTCACAAGGTTGTGCTCACCCTTCAATTAAAATGACTACAAGACTTGCCATCAGCTCTCTTCAGGACCACTGCTGTGTCAGAATCAGAAACCTTGGGTGCCATGACATTTTTACAAAATTTCAAATCAAAGCCAGGCTTTGCAGATAATAGATCGCTTGAGTATGAACCACACATTATGTAAGTGCACGTATATTTTGAGTTCTCAATACAATTACCCTGATGGGCATGAACCCACAGGTAAGAGCAGAGGTTTGGTTCCCCTGGAGGGCCCTGGCTGGAGGCCCCAGCACCAACCAGACAGGAGGGCCAGACTGCTACCCAGTACTGTACCTCCTGTCCTTCAAGAGCCTCCCTAAGAGAGAAAAAGATTTATACTTCCACTTTGTTTGCTGCACATGTGGCAACAAGATTGCTACCCTGATTTGGGATACTTGCGAGAACTCGAAAAAAATGACCACCCTTAAAGCCCTAGAAAAAAGTTGTATGTTAACAGCTAAGATGCACTCACTTTGCATTGTGTATTCTTGAAAGCTCTGTATAAATCAAAATTTTGACCACACACTAAATACACTAGAGAAATACACTATAGAGGAGTCCTTTTATAGGGTTGAAGAATCCTTTGGTAAGAAAAATATGCTGCATTAGGGACAGCTGCAAGTTTACTATTTCTGGGGAAGAAAAGATCAAAGATAAGAGCCAAGTTTGTTTTTTAAAGCAGTCAATCCAAACAGTCTGGGTGGTTAGTTGTTACCCCTGAGGGGCTTGAGGTGTAACTATATCAGCTATAAAAATAGTAATTCCATACACTTATTAGGTTACTTTATATCCTTCACTCTTCCCCATGGCTGTAATAATGGAGAGTGAATGAGACTAAGGCTAAGCCCAACTCCACTCAAATCCAAGCCACATACCACCTTGGCTACAGTACAGGGAAGCTCTGCACACCCTGGCTTGGGAAAGTTTTGGCCGATGGAGCCCAAGATGCAGGGCAACCATCTACTCTTTAGGGTTCTGATGACTCCACTCCAGAAAGGTGCATGAAGAGGTCCCCGAGCTCTGTCATGTCGACATCTTCATTGTTGGGGACATGCCGGCTTTCTCGGTTCTCGATGAAATCCCAGAGCCGCACTGAATTAAAGAACTGCAAAAACAGCCAGTGGACATGCCTGGTTACTGCCAAGAGCAACAGGAAGGCTACGTTGCTTGATCTTTCTTTTGCCTACCCCATTTCTCTGCAGGGAACAGTACCTGGAAATGCCCACAGCTGCTAAGTGTCCCCAACTAGAGATGGCTAAAGTCCTTACCCTCACAGTGCCTTGAGAACTGAGCTGTTTCCGAGGTTTTTCAGGCTCTGCTAGCCGCCCATCAGGGTAAGCATGGCGATAAAGACATTTGCTTCCAAATGGGCAGGTCCCCTTGCCTTGCTCAAAGTATTTACAGGCTTTTTTCCTGAAAAGCAGAAAGAAAGAGTCAAGCGGCTGGTGGGAAAATGTGGGGTCCAGATTGGGCCACTGCCTTCCTCTATCCTTACCCTTACGCCAGAGGTAGGTCAGCCTCACATTCTAGGTGGGGCAACTTAGGCTGGGAGAGGTTGAGTAATTTGTCTCAGGTCCCACACAGCTGGGATTCTGAATTCCAAGCAGAATAGGAAGCATCCCTACCTACCTGTAGCCTTGCAAAGGATATGAACCTGCCTGGGGACTCGCTGTGTGGAGACTGCAGTGCCTCACAGGCCCTCCGGCAGCTCCAGAGCACCTCCTGGGTCACCACAGAGCTAAGCCAGGCCTGGTCACTCCTCTGGGCATTAAGGTCTGAAGCTGGACCACTTGTCTCTGCTCAAAGTTCCCTAGGTACTCCACCAAGCCAAGTCTCCCATTCCTCCTGGCTGCAGTGCTGTCAAGGTGACTACAGGGAAAGCAGAGGGTTTTAGCAACTGCCTAAAACCAGAGGTCTCCTTCCAGTTTTCCTGTCTTCACCCTCAGCACCAGGGCTTCTTCACGCCTTACGTGCTTTGGACCCCTTCTCTGAACAGTTTTCCAATGCATAAAACGCATAGGTCTAGAGCCTACAGTTACCAAACAGTTCAAACTGTTTTCCCTCTCTCTTAATTCTACCATTTTCCCCACAGACCTCTACCTTAAGAACCCTGCCCGAGGAAACTCAATCAAATGAATTCCCATTTTGCTCAAATGAACTCTGGTTTATCCAATCATAAAGGACCCCAAACTGAAGTGAAAAAAAGATACCCAAGAATCCAGAGGGCCATCTCGGAGAACAGAGGAAGGGGAAAGTCACAGAAATAAAGCCAAACAACAGAAAGGGCATGCTGCTGCCAGGGGCAGCTGGGGTGTGTGTGACAGCGGGAGACAAGAACGGGGAAAGGGGGCTCCTGAATCCAGTGGTTTTCTGTCTTGTCAGATGGGATGGCCACAGGCCAGCGGTGAAGTTCTCTGAGGACGGCTGTAGAGCAGCATAAAGACAAGCTCCCTGGCCAGGTGTGGTGGCTCACACCTGTAATTTCAGCACTTTGGGAGGCCAAGGTGGGTGGATCACTTGAGGTCAGGAGTTCGAGACCAGCCTAGCCAACACGGCGAAACCCTATCTCTACTAAAAATCCAAAAATTAGCTGGGCATGGTGGTGGGCACCTGTAATCCCAGCTACTCAGGAGGCTGAGGCAGGAGAATTGCTTGAACCCAGGAGGTGGAGGCTGCAGTGAGCCGAGATTGTGCCACTACACTCCAGCCTGGGAGACAGAGTGAGACTTCGTCTGGGGGAGGCGGGAAGCTCCCTTGCCGGCTGATCTGATTTGAGCACAGGTGGCTGCAGAGCAGGTGTGTGGACTGCACGTCCTCTAGGCCCCTACTTGCCTGGGGTTCTTAGCAGACTTCAAATGACCGCGAGCAGTTTGCTCTCACCAGAGCCTGCTGGACAACTCCAGGGCATCCTAGCACGCTGGCTACGAACTCCATCAGGTCAAACACACATTATGTGCTGGTTCCGTACTCTCGCAAGAATATTACTCTTTTTCCTCCCCCAGGCTTATCTGGTCACCAAGGCCAAAAGCCTCCAGTTCACTCTGACTCACTCTGTGTTCTCGGCTCTCACACCCAACTGTGTTCATTCTATTTACAAATCACTTCCCAATCTCCCCTTCCTTTGGGTTCCTAAACCGTGGAAGCCTCTGGGGCCTCCCTCCCACTCCACCAGTTTTCACCTTGTTCAGAGTACCACAGAGGAGCTTCCCAACCTTTTTTTTCTCTTTAAAGAGATGAGGTCTCCCTATGTCTCCCCTGGCTGGTCTCGAACCCCTGCCCTCCTTAGCCTCCCAAAGTGCTGGGATTACAGGCGTGAGCCACTGCACCTGGCCCCAACCTGTTCTTAAAGACCATGGTCACACTGGGATTCAAGTGTCACTTAGATTCCAGTCTGTGTGTAGGTCCCACCACATCCTTCTACACACCTGCTTCAATGCCAGGAGCCATTCCCAGTGTCCCCCAGACACAAAACCGACACCCTTCTGTGCCCACGTCCTTTCGTCACTTCCCCTGCACAGGTGCTTCCTGCTTCACTGTTCAGGTTCCCACGCTGCTTCCCCTGACAGCCCCTGGTGGATCCAAGTGCTTTCTCTGTTGTGACATATGGTCCCTCATGAAGAACTGGTCCCTAGCAAACCTGTATCATAATTGCCCTTTTGCAGTTTCCCATGAAGTTTTCTTACTTGGCTGGGTGCGGTGGCTCACACCTATAATCCTAGCACTTTGGGAGGCTGAGGTGGGTGGATCATCTGAGGTCAGGAGTTCAAGACCAGCCTGGGCAACATGGTGAAACCCCATCCCTACTAAAAAAATACAAAAATTAGCTGGGTGTGGTGGTGCACACCTGTAATCCCAGCTACTCGGGAGGCTGAGGCAGAAGAATCACTTGAACCCTGGATGTGGAGGTTGCAGTGAGCTGAGATCACGCCATTGCACTCCAGCCTGGGTGACAGGGTGAGACTCAAAAAAAAAGAAATTGTCTTACTAATCTCTACATCTCCCAGTGGTGCTTAGCTGGAAGGTGCCTGACCCACAGTGAGTACTCAGTAAATGTCTGTGGATTGCAAAACACACAGTCATCAAAGGAAAGCAAACAAGGAAAGATCCAAATAGCAATAACAATTTCCAGACTGCTTTTCAGCGGAGCCCCCTTCTACAGGCCGGGAACCCTCTGCTTGCCATGCCTGCCCTCTTGTGGACACACAGGAAGATTGTATGAGGAAAAAATGGTAAAAAAAAAAAAAAAAAAAAAATCAAGCTTTAGTAAACTGATATGCAACATAAAGGAACCATAAAAAAGGTAATGTATAGTTTCACTTTTAGTACGACAAGTAAACTTCTACCATACCCAACCCTCCTGCAGATAAGTCTTAACACAAACATTTCAAAAAGACCTGAAGGCACTGGAGAACGAACAAATGCAGTTAGATTCTTTGGAGGAGTAAACGCAAAGAAGAATAGCAATGGCAAAGGCTAAGTTACCTTTAAAAAGGTAGCTTTTGTGACTCACTTCTGTAATCCCAGCACTTTGGGAGGCCAAGGCAGGCGGATTGCCTGAGCTCCAGAGTTCGAGACCAGCCTGGGCAACATGGTGAAACCCTGTCTCTACTAAAATACAAAAATTAGCCAGGTGTGGCAGCATGCACCTGTAGTCAGAAGGCGGAGGTGGCAGTGAGCTGAGAGCCATGCACTCCAGCCTGGGCTACAGAGCAAGACTCCGTCTCCAAAAAAAAAAAAAAAAGAAAGAAGTAGCTTTTATCCTGGAGCAGGCCAAAATCACAACCACTTGGGGTGACTAAAACTCCAAGGGGAAATCCAATCTTTCTGGCCTGAAGAACTAAAAGACGAGAGTTCAAGGTAATTGCAACTATTGGCAAGTGAGGAAACAATCCCACAAAGTAAGGGGCCTGTGAAAGAGTGCTCAAAGGCTGTGTATAAACTCTGCCCAACTCCTGAACCACACAGGAATGCGACAAACTCAGCCACGAATGCAAAACCAGAACTGAGATCTCAACTGCTGCCCGGGTTTGAGTTCAAACAATTTACCTACCTGTTAAAAACATCAATACTTGGCCGGGCGCAGTGGCTCATGCCTGTAATCCCAGCACTTTGGGAGGCCGAGGTGGGCGGATCACCTGAGGTGAGGCGTTCAAGACCAGCCAGGCTAACATGGTGAAACCCCATTTCTACTAAAAGTACAAAAAATTAGCCAGGCGCAGTGGCGCATGCCTGTAATCCCTGCTACTCAGGAGGCTGAGGCAGCAGAATCGCTTGAACCCAGGAGGCAGAGGATGCAGTGAGCTGAGATTACACCACTGCACTCCAGCTTGGGCAAGAAGAGTGAAACTCCGTCTCAAAAAAAAAAAAAAAATCAACACTTCACAGATAAACTGTAACAGAATCCTAAGTCTCTCTACAACGTAATATTTACAATGTCAAGGATAAAATCTAAAATTATTAGATATATGAAGAATCAGGAAAATGTGATCCATTCTTAAAAGACAACAGAGGTCAACTTCAAGATGACAAGGATTTCAAAGTAGCTACTACAACTATGCTCAAAGAGATGAAAAGAAAACAAAGGTTGAAAAAGAATGAACATCCCCAGAGATCTATGGACAATATAAAAAAATCTACCATAAATGGAAGTAGAGTCCCAGCAGGAAAAGAAAAAACAAGATAGAAAAAAAGTTAATGAAACAACAGCTAAAATTTCCCTAATCTTGGGGAGTAACATAAATGTAGAGAAAAACCACTCCTCAGCAAAATGTCCACATGCTGACAACCAGGATAAAGAGGAAAACTTGAAGCTGGGCACGGTGGCTCATGCCTGTAATCCCAGCACTTTGGGAGGCTGAGGCAGGAGGATCACTTGAGTCTAGGAGTTCAAGACCAGCCTGGGCTACATGGCGAAACCTTGTCTCTACCAAAAAAAAAAAAGAAAGAAAAAAAATTAGCTGGGCATGGTGGCGCACAGTACTGGCGGTCCCAGCTACTCAAGAGGCTCCTGCTTGAGCCCAGGAGGCTGAGGCTACAGTGAGCTGAGAGTGCACCACTGCACTCCAGCTTGGGCAACAGAGTGAGACCCTATCTCACCGAAAACAAAAACAAAAACAAAAACACACCAAAACTAAACAGGTCCACATCACCATGTCCTTGCTCATTGCTGCATCCCAGAGCCCAGCATGGTGCCCGAGAGAAGGAAGAGAGGAAGAGGCCCCTAAGACCACGCTTCTGGGAGGGAGAACAAGGACACAGGCTGACAGCAGAGCCAGGCAGGCAGCAAGGGCATGTCGAAACTCAAAGCACTTACCCCATCCCCTGTTTGAAAGCTTCAATCAACTCGTTCTTTTTATTCTGATCTTCCACCCAATACACACTTGGAATTACAAACTCTGATATCACACGGCATTCTGGACAAGACCTGAAATAAGAATTAGATTACTAAGGGAGAAGTCATGTTATGAAGCCTGGGCACACTCTCTGCTAAACCTCTTGCTCAACTGCCTGACCACTACAGGCACTTCCTTCACCAGAAATTCCAAAAGATGAAATCACAATCATCCAAGAACCGTATTTACTATTTAAAAAATAGGGTTTCCCAATAAGAACACATGGACACGTGGGGAACATCACACACCGGGGCCTGTCGGTGCAGGGGCAAGAGGAGGGAGAGCATCAGCACAAATAGCTAATGCATGTGGGGCTGAAAACCTAGGTGACAGGTTGAGAGGTGCAGAAAACCACCTTGGCACATGGATACCCATGTAACAAAGCTACACATTCTGCACATGTATCCCAGAACTTAAAGCAAAAAAAATACATATCTATATATCTATATCTGTATCTATATCTATATCTATATCTATATCTATATATAGGGTTTCCTCAACAAAAAAGACAGATGAAATAAGAACCCTCATACATGGCTGGTGAGAATGTAAAATGGTGCAGAGAATGCAAAATTTGAACAGAGTCTGGCAGATTCTCCAACAGTTTAATGTAGTGTTATTATACCATAAAACCTAGCAATTCCACGCCTAGGTGTATACCCAAGAGAAATGAAAACACATGTCCACCCAAAACTGTGTTCACAAATGTTGACAGCAGCATTATTGATAATAGTTACAAAGTGAAAACAGCCCAGATGTCCACCAGCTGAGGAATGGATAAGGGAAATGTGCTGTGTCCATACAGCGGAACGTATTCCGCCACGAAAAGGGGTCTCTGGCACATGCTACAGTCAGGATGAACTCTGACAACACCATGCTCACTGAAAGAGGCTAGGCACAAAAGGCCGCATGTTCTGACTCCATTTATAAGCAGTGTCCAGAATAGGCAAGTCTGTAGAGACAGCAGATGAGTGGTGAACTAAATTGTGTGCATCTTTTATCTCAATAAAGCAGTTGTTTTACCACAAGATTTTAGACAAGTTACTTGACCCCCCCACCTCAGGCCTGTTTCCTAATCTGTAACTGAGGAGGGTCTTTGCGGGAATGGGATGAGCAGACAGATGTGAAGAGTTCTCAACAGTAGAACGCGTGCAGTAACCTCTCCACACGCCAGCTTTCCCCCTGTCCTGCTGGAGAATTTGAGACTCCTGTTGGCCACATTGAGCACATCCCATGTGCCAGGCATCATGCAGAATGTTTTACATGCATGATTCCACTTCATCCTCAAATAACCCTATTTTCGTTTTTGGTGGGGGGAAAAAACGAAGCTCAAAACGATTCACAGGCAACTGGGCTAAAGGCAGGTAGTACTGGATTTCAAACACAAGGCTAGGAGACGAAAACAGGCCACTGCCATGGAACAGCTTTTTACACAGATCATCGTTGCTGAGTTCCTCCCCAACACCCAGAATGTTTGGTAGGAATTGTTGCCCATCTTTTATAGGAACAGGCACTTGGGCTCAGGAAGAGTAAATTACTTGCTGAAGTTCATGCAGCCAGGGGCCAGAACTCACCAGTTACTCTGCACTAAGACACCCCTGGAGGGTAACGGAGGGCTTAAAAGTGGATGGAATAAAGTCTCAAATCAAACATTCTCCTAGTTCCTACAGCTAAGACCCCTGGCTGTACTTACTTAATGATTGGGTTTTCAAACTGTTTGGCACACCGCCACTGCCGGATGCAGGACAAGCAGTACGTGTGATTGCAGTTGGAGAGAATCCCAAATCTCCTCTCGGAAGCAGAGGCCTTCTCCAGGATCACTTCCATGCAGATACTGCACACTTTGTCCTGGCTTGCCTGGAAGGCAAAGGCCTTTTCCATCTCGTGTTCGAATGTCAACATGCAGATCTGAAGCACAGACAGGAAGGAAGGCTTCGGTTGTTGGCCACTGAGGAGTGGCAGGAGCCCTAGGAGTAGCTGCAGCCACACTGCCACTGCTGAGATCAGGAAGGAACACTGACAGCGACTGCTGTGAGCAAGGCCCAGCCTCCCCCAAGTCAGGACACTGACATCTCCCTCAGACCACACAAAGGACCTCAAACCATCACTGGTCCAGCCCCTTGCTTTCCTAGGAGGTGACGTGGTCACCACTCATTTAGAGCTGAGAACACGGAGATCCAAAAAGGTTAAACTGCAGTGGAGTCAGAGTCCATAAGGACTGCGACTCTAGTCCCCTAGCTCCTCTGGGCACTGTTTCCCCTGACTCTGAGCCATGTCTACATCAGAGATGCTGACTCGTCCTTACCATAAGCCTTGGGGCTAGCAACCTAGTTATATGTAAGCAGCACCACCTCTCCCCAAGAAAACGATTCAATGAATTCATTCATTCATTAGGCATGCCCTGAATTCCTTCTATGTGCTGGCATTTGAGGAAGGGCAAAGAGTGAGAAGACCTACGCCCGGCCCTTGTGAGCTCAGTGTGTCCAGATCTGAGACAAGCCAACATTCACCGCAGAGACCTCACACACTTGCATAAAGACAGTTCTAATCCTCTGCTTCCCTGGAAGACAATGGAGAGTGTCTCCTTGTCCACTGCCACATGGAGTCAGTACTAGCTTACCCCTTGATTATCTAGGAATACACTGTCCATTAATACACTGTCCATTTAAACATGCCTTAGGCCGGGTGCGGTGGCTCACACCTGTAATCTCGTTACTCTGGGAGGCCATGATAGGAGGACTGCTTGATCTCAGAAGTTCAAGACCAGCCTGAGCAACAGAGCAAGACCTCATCTCTGTGAAAAATAAAATAATTTTTTTTTTTTTTTTTAGATGGAGTCTTGCTCTGACTCCCAGGCTGGAGTGCAGCGGAGCAATCTCGGCTCACTGCAAGCTCCACCTCCTGGGTTCACGCCATTCTCCTGCCTCAGCCTCCTAAGTAGCTGGGACTATAGGCGCCCGCCACCACACCCGGTTAATTTTTTGTATTTTTAGTGGAGACGGGGTTTCACCGTGTTAGCCAGGATGGTCTTGATCTCCTGACCTTGTGATCCGCCCGCCTCGGCCTCCCAAAGTGCTGGGATTGCAGGTGTGAGCCACTGTGCCCGGCCAAAATAAAATAAAATTTTAAAAGTTAGCCAAGCCACCACACCTGGCATTTTTAAATTTTTTTATTATTTTTATTTTTTGAGACAGGGTCTCACTCTGTTGCCCAGACTGGAGTGCAGTGGCACAGTCTTGGCTCACTGCAACCTCTGCTTCCCAGGTTCAGGTGATCCTCCCAGCCCTGCCAAGTAGCTGGGACTACAGGTGTGTGCCACCACACCTGGCTACTGTTTGTTTATTTATTTGTTTGTTTATTTTGTGGAGACGGGGATCTCACCATGTTGCCCAGGCTGGTCTCAAACTCCTGGGCTCAAGCGATCTGCATGCCTTGGCCTGCCAAAGTGCTGGGATTACAGGTGTGAGTCACCATGACTGGCCCTCCCCTGCCTCTTATCCAGCTTCGTACCCTCTGCATCATGCATAGGGACTAGCATAAGGCAAAGCCTCCCAAAACACTGCAGACATTAATGACTTTAAAAGGCCCTTCCAATAAGTGGCTCCTCAGATTCTATGATTTGGGCTCAAATCTTCCAAAACTTGGCCTAGCTGGATCCCAACCATGAGGAAGTGTGAACCCAGGGAGGCAGGACGCTGTATGTGTGTGTGAGAGACATACACACAGACGACATACCATGGTCCCGAGCTAGATCTGTTCTTTGAACTTAGCATGACTTTGTTTCAGATATCACTTCTTTTTCTCTTTATTCTGAGTAATCAAAAATTGGCAAAATAGGCTGGGCATGGTGGCTCATGCCTGTAATCCAAACACTTTGGGAGGCTGAGGCAGGCAGATCACTTCAGGTCAGGAGTTCGAGACCAGCTTGGCCAACATGGTGAAACCCCTTCTTTCCTAAAAATACAAAAGTAGCCGAGCGTGGTGGTGAGCGCCTGTAATCCCAGCTACTCGGCGGGGCTGAGCCAGGAGGATCACCTGAGCTGGGGAAGCAGAGGTTGCAGTGGGCCGAGATTGCACCACTGTACTCCAGGCTGGGTGACAGGGAGACTGTTTAAAAAAAAAAAAAAATGGCAAAATGACTGCAGGAAAAAGAATCTCAAAATAGGATGTAAATATACCAGATGCATAATATGGGTTATTACTGGCAGGGGGATGCCTGTGGAAACACCAACAATTCTATCACTTAGTATGTTTCAGATTTCTTTTTCTGAGTGTGTATGGATGGCCTTCAGTGTCCTGTTCAGTACATTTCAGATTTCTTAACATGAGTTCATGCAAAGGTTTGTGACTTTACCTTTTCGTGAGCCTTCCTCTGCTCTGGGTCGAAGGGGTGCAAGACTCGCAGCCTACAGATTTCACACACCTCCCCATGCAGGTAGACACAGGCATCCCCAAACCGGCACTCCCCAGCAGCTGCGTAGGGGCACAGCTGCTGCTCGTTGCTGTAGGAGCTGCTGGCCTCCACGTCATCAAGGCCACTCCTGATGGCCTCCAGGTAGGAATGCGGCTTCATCTCGGGGCTGGGTTGGGGGTCGCTGCAGCTGCCTGGATTACTCACCATGCTCGGCTGAGTCTTTCCTTCAGCCATGCCAGAGAGATCTGAATACAACACACGGCACACACACACATGAAAATGGCCCCATTTTTCTGTTATGCCGTTAACCAAAGCCTAACATATCAAGCTACTCTGACCTAAGAATTCCACCCTTGAGAACATATGGCAAAAAAACAGACCGAAGGGGAAAAATAAAAGGAATAGTATAAAATGTTCATAGTGACATTACTTATAATTACTTAAAAAAACAAAAAACAAAAATGGCCAGACAGGGAAATAAGCAAAACAATAGGATACACTTATACAAAAGAACACTAAAGCTGCTGTTTAAAATGGCAAATATGGAAATGTTAACACATGGACCAGTTAACACTAAAACAAACAAAAAAAGTGAGATCACTAGAACACAGTGTTTCCTTCATACCAGCAAAGTTACCAATCATTTTAAGTGAACTAGAATAGATGTCTACAGCAAATCTGTGGGTCCTGAGGCCAGCGTAAACTGTCCCATGGTGAACCCTTCTCACGCCAGGAGCTGCTGCCTTCCCACTGCACACCTCCGAGCTTGTTTAGAGGTCACGTATTCTCACAGGACTACTCATTTGCTGAGGAGAGAATCTACCTACCTCATGGTACCCAATTCCAAGAACTAGAAATCTCTTCACCTGGTGAGGACCAGCCAATAAAAACAACTTTTACGGCCAGGCGCAGTGGCTCTTGCCTGTAATCCCAGCACTTTGGGAGGCCAAGGCGGGTGGATTATGAGATCAGAAGTTCGAGACCAGCCTGACCAACATAGTGAAACCCTGTCTCTACTAAAAATACAAAAATTAGCTGGGCATGGTGGTGGGCACCTGTAATCCCAGCTACTAGGAAGGCTGAGGCAGGAGAATCCCTTGAACCTGGGAGGCGGAGATCATGCCACTGCACTGCAGCCTAGGCGACAGAGCGAGACTCCGTCTCAAAAAAACAAAACACACAAAAAACAAACAAAAAACTTTTACAATTTGTAGCTTTCTTCCTCATCAAACCCCGTTTTAAGGCACAGACCATGTCCCAAACCCTAGTGTGCTATTCTGTTCCCAAAGGTGCAATCTAAAATGTCAAACACTGTCAGCATAAAAACTAAGACCATTCACTGGCCTAAAAGTCAAACTGTGAAACGTGCTCTTTAGCAAAATATTTAGTTTTGTTTTTTTTTTTGAGAGGGAGTCTCACTCTTGTCACCCAGGTTGGAGTGCAGTGGCGTGATCTCAGCTCACTACAACCTCAGCCTCCCGGGTTCAAGAAATTCTCCTGCCTCAGTCTCCCAAGTAGCTGGGATTACAGACACCTGCTACTACGCCTGGCTAATTTTTGCATTTTTAGTAGAGACGGGGTTTCTACTAAACCATGTTGGCCAGGCTGGTCTCAAACTCCTGATCTCAGGTGATCTGCCCACCTCAGTCTCCCAAAGTGTTCGGGTTACATGTGTGAGCCACTGTACCCAGACAAAATATTTAGGTTTGAAATGAAGAGCTTGATGCTTCTCACCAGCTGGACAACCACCATATGAAGATGGAAGTTACATGCTGACAAAAAGATTGCGTTTTTATGTTTTGCCAGGTCAGTCTTGGAGCTCCAGCCTTTGGGCACGAGGGCAAACGTATCATTTGAATGATCTACAGCCACATGGAGCCTCTTCAGAAAGTTCTGAAGTCTCTCCACGCGGACAACCTGGAGGCGTATTAGGTTAGGAGTCCTCTTGACAAGAGGAGGCTAGAAAGGAGCACCAAGCATAAGCAAGAGTGCTATGCAAAAAGAAGCAACAAAAGGCTTCCGCTTACTCACTTCGGTCTCTAAGAACCAACGTTCTCTTTTCACGCTTCCCGGGTTCATGTGAGTTAGTTTTCACAATGGACGCAGTGACCTCAGAAGGAGGGTGAGGACTGTGGAAAGCTGGGGAGGGCACACTGTGGGCCATGGTGCCGACAGCACCTCCAGCTGCAGCAGAGGGCCTCGTGTGGTCATATCTAAACAAAACACACAGCAGATGCATTACAGACATGCCATCCACACACATCCCCACACTCCCCAGATGCCAATGGCCCTCCTGCTGCTGCACTTGTTGAGGTGAAGAAAGCAGCCATCTTTTCCAATATTTAAACTCTAACAGGATTATCGATTAACAGATGCTTGGCAATTCAGTGTGAGGGGGACATTTGCTATCTATCACCTATGCTTAAGTGTCTCTGTGGGACTTGAGTGGGACAGACACACAGCTCCAGACCACACAGAGAGCCTGAAAGTTCCAAACAGATGTTGAGCTGAAATCTCCTGATGCCTGACTGACCCAGTATTCTTTTGAGCAGGAGTCCCCAAAATGCTGACAAGGGCCAATGACCTCTCCCTGACTGTCTCTCTCGGCACTCATTAGCAGGGGGAGACCAAGGTGGGTCTACTTCCATCATATCCCACTGCACTGCAGAGAAAATGGAGGAAAGGAAACTTGACAGCCTAGGAAAGAAAAGATCAGCTCTTCACTACAAAAGCACGAACAAGTTTCTGGAATTGTGTACACTTTTATAACTATATATTCATAAGAATAAGGCTGAGAAGTAGTTTTAAAAAATGAAAATTAGGCCGGGCACGGTGGCTCACACCTGTAATCTCAGCACTTTGGGAAGCCAAGGCAGGCAGATCATGAGGTCAGGAGTTAAGACCAGCCTGACCAACATGGTGAAACCCCATCTCTACTAAAAATACAAAAAAAAAATCAGCCAGGTGTAGTGGCAGGTGCCTGTGATATCAGCTATTCGGGAGGCTGAGGCAGGAGAACTGCTTGAACCCTGGAGGCGGAGGTTGCAAAGAGCCAAGATTGTGCCACTGCCCTCCAGCCTGGGCAACAGTGCAAGACTCCATCTCAAAAAAAAAAAAAAAAAAAAAAGAAAATTAGTTTCAGGGTCCTGAAACTGAGGTTTTAAATTTATTTGCCATACTTTCTGTAATGCTGTCATATTACTTTTACATTAAAACTTCCCCCTTATCAAGACCCATTCTCCAAACGAAATCAGTGTCACAGCTGGAGCCTGTCGCAGAGTCCTTGCCTGCACCGAGTTCCATAGGCACAGTAGCCCTTCTGGTAGTACTTGCAGATGGTGGACGGCTTGCTGTTTGCCAAGTCATGTGAGAACAGGCACTGACTTCCTTCCCGACACACACCATGCATAAAATACCTGAAGAGACAAGCACAGGCATACAACTTTCAGAAGCACATTTTGCTTTATAAAATCAGCTTTTTCTTGAACCTAGCATACAAATATTTACCAAGTATATATTAGGTATAAAGGCTCTATTAGGCACTGGAGAGAGATCTATATATTTCCTTGATTCTACAACAGTGATTTCAGAGGCACTACAACTGATTCAATGACAGCTTTTCTGGAAGAAAAGCAAACAATCCCATATATTTCTATGTGAAGATATATCTTCCTGATTTGAGACATGTTCAACGTGAGCCACATAATTGAGAAAACATTCTGTGAAAAACTGTTCTCTCTGTTCTCAAGGAGCTTAAAGGGCATGACTAACGAAACCAGAAGATCTGGGTTCAAGACCCAGCTCTGTCACTTAAGAACATGTCACAAAACCAACGTCCCTGGGCCCTGCTACCTTTCCCTATAAAATGAAGATTAGGCCAGGCGCCGTGGCTCAAGCCTGTAATCCCAGCACTTTGGGAGGCCGAGACGGGCGGATCACAAGGTCAGAAGATCGAGACCAGCCTGACTAACACGGTGAAACCCCGTCTCTACTAAAAAAATACAAAAAACTAGCCGGGCGAGGTGGCGGGCGCCTGTAGTCCCAGCTACTCGGGAGGCTGTGGCAGGAGAATGGCGTAGACCCGGGAGGCGGAGCTTGCAGTGAGCTGAGATCCGGCCACTGCACTCCAGCCTGGGTGATAGAGCAAGACTCCGTCTCAAAAAAAAATAAAATAAAACAAAATGAAGATTATACTACCCACTGAACTGGTTGTGGTGAGGATCAAATACCATCATGTGATATCAAAAGATATACACAGATGCTCCTTGACTAATGATGGGGTTACATCCCAATAAAGCCATTGTTTTCTGTTTTTTGTTTTGAGATGGAGTCTCTCTATGTCACCCAGGCTAGAGTGCAATGGCACAGTCTCAGCTCACTGCAATCTCTGCCTTCCGGGTTCAAGCGATTCTCCTAGCTCAGCCTAGGTTACCTTACTTATGCTCAGAACACTTACATTAGCCTACAGTTGGGCCAAATCATCTAACACAACGTCTATTTTATAATAAAGTACAGAATAATCTCATGCAATTTATTGAACACCGTACTGAAAGTGAGAAACAGAAAGGTTGTATGGGTACTTGAAGTACAGTTTTTAATGAAAGCTGTTTCTGATACATTGTTTCAGATGCATCAGAATATCAGATGTATCACATGTTCTGTATCAGAATATTCCACTGAGATATCAGATCCTGGCCTTGAAGGAATAAGTGGTACAGGAATACCTGGGAGGCATTCTAACTCTGTCCAGCCAGGGTAGAGAGACCTGAGTGAATACTCAAACAGTAGAGACCCTAGATGAACATGCCTTGATATTAAAGATAAACTAGGCTGGGTGTGGTGGCTCATGCCTGTAATCCGGCCAAGGCAGGCGCATCACCTAAGGTTAGGAGCTCAAGACCAGACTGACCAACATAGAGAAACCCTGTCTCTACTAAAAAAAATACAAAATAAGGGCCAGGCGCGGTGGCTCATGCCTGTAATCCCAGCACTTTGGGAGGCCGAGGTGGGCGGATCATGAGGTCAGGAGATCGACGCCATCCTGGCTAACATGATGAAACCCGTCTCTACTAAAAACACAAAAAATTAGCTCGGTGTTGTGGCTAGCGCCTGTAGTCCCAGCTACTTGGGGCTGAGGCAGGAGAATGGCGTGAACCCGGGAGGCGGAGCTTGCAGTGAGCCAAGATCGTGCCATTGCACTCCAGCCTGGGCAACAAGAACGAAACTCCATCTCAAAACAAAACAAAACAAAAAACAAATGAAACTTCTAGAAGTGAAAAATACAATGTCTGAAATGAGAATTACATTAGATGAGTTTAGTAGATGGGATACTACAAAGGAAAATATCAGAATACTTAAAGACACAGAATAGAAACCATCTGAGAGAGAGAGAGAGAAACAAACTTTTGCTTCTGACTACCAAGGAGCATGGATCTTGGCTTCTCACTGTTAAGGAAAAAAAAAAAAAAAAAACCCAACTGGAAAATGATACGATTTATGTGAAACAACTGCTTTCAGACAATAGAAAAAAGGACTGGTCCTCAAGAGAAGGAAAACACAGGAAGTAAGCCCCATATGTAGTCTGACTTCCTACCTGGAGGCATATTCTAGGTCTTGGTACTGGGGGGAGAACCTCAGGCAAATCACAGAGATTGGAGTTCAGGGAGGCTGCAGGGATTCTTTAAAGATCCATAAATAGTCCGGGCTCAGAAGCTCATGCCCATAATCCCACCACTTTGGGAGGCCAAGGTGTGAGGATTGCGTGAGCCCAGAAGTTTGAGGTCAGCCTGGGCAACACGGCAAAAGCCAATCCCTATAAAAAATATAAAAATTAGTCGTGCATGGTAGCTACTTGGGGGCCTGAGGTGGGAGGACTGCTTGAGCCCAGGAAGGAGAGAGGCTGCAGTGAGCTCTGTTTGCACCACTATACTCCAGCCTGGGTGACAAAGCAAGACCCTATCTCAAAACAAAACAAAACAAAACAAAACAAAACACAAAAAACAAACAAAAAACCCTGTAAATAGAACCACACATAGGCCGCAGGCAATGGCTCATGCCTGTAATCCCAGCACTTTGGGAGGCCAAGGTGAGTGGATCGCTTGAGCTCAGGAGTTTGAGATCAGCCTGGGCAACATGGTGAAACCTCGTCTCTACCAAAAAATATACAAAAAATTAGCCAGGCATGATAGTGTGCGCCTGTGCTCCCAGCTACTCAGGAAAACAAGGTAGGAGGATCGCTTGAGCCCAGGAGTCGGTGGTTGCACTGAGCCAAGATCGTGCTGCTGCACTCTAGCCTGGGTGACAGAGTGAGACCCTGTCTCAAAAAAAAAAAAAAAAAGGTAAGTGGGGGAAATAATCTTTTTGACAAATGATGCTGGACCCAAACTCGACTTGGAAAAAAAATACGTACCTGCTGATACGACCCAAAATGAAGTATAAAACAACCTATGACATATTCTAGCCAGAAACAATTAATTTGAATCCACAAAACCCCAGATCTAACTTCCAGTTCATAGAAAATACAGGAGACTGGGGACAACCTATGAAAGACATGTCGAGAAAACAACCAAATAAACACAAAAGAGGCTGCACGTGGGACCCAGGCCTACTCTCTTTATAAGTGCCACGTAACTAAAGGAGGCTGAGTCTGGAAAAGAGGTTGACAGTTTCTTAAAAAATGTAAACAAAATCTACCATATGACACAACAATTCTACGCCTAGGAATGTTCCCAAGAAAATGAAAATCTATGTACACACAAATACTTGTATATGAATGTCCAAAGCAGCATTATGCATAACAGTCAAAAAGTAGAAACAATCCAAATGTTCATCAACTGGTGAACAGACAGACAAAATGTGATTTATCCATACAATGGGCCCTTATCCAGCCATAAAAAGGAAGGAGGTACTGGCACATACTACAACATGGATGAACCTTGAAAACACGATGTGGAGTGAAAGGAGTCGGACACAAAAGACCACATGTTGCATGATTCCATTTACATGCAATGTCAGAAAAGGCAAATCTACAGAGACAGAAAGTAGATTAAGTGGCTGCTTAGGGTTGGGAGGAAAGAAGTGAGGGTGACTGCTAATGGGCACAAGGGATCTTTTGGGGGTGACAGAAATTTCCTAAAATTTAATTGTTGTGATGGTTGTACAACTTTGTAAATTCACTAAAAAGTTTTGCACTGTATACTTCAAACAGGTAAATTTTATAGTGTGTAAGTTATACCTCAGAAATAGCTGTTAGAAAAGAGAAAAAGGGGAAGGGACAACGCTAGGTTAGCAGACAGAACACAAGGGACATAATAACCAGATGCAATACTTAGCTCTGGACTAGAATCTGGTTTCGACAAACAAGATATAAAAGACATTTTTAAACCAGATATTTTGAAAGATATTTTGAAACAAATGTGAGTATGGACTAGGTATAAAATCAAAATTTATTAATATGGAAAGTTAAACACAACTGAGAAGAGTAGATTATAAAACAGTTAATGGTGCAGCTGCTATAGAAAAACAGTATGGAAGTTCCTTAAAAAATTAAAAATATATTTACCATATAATCCGGTAATTCCACTTCCGGGTATAGACACAAAATAATTCAGGTCAGGCCCAGTGGCTCAGGCCTGTAATCCCAGCACTTTGGGAGGCTGAGGTGGGTGGATCACCTGAGGTCTGGAGTTTGAGACCAGCCTGACCAACATGGTGAAACGCCATCTCTACTAAAAATACAAAAATTAGCCGAGCGTGGTGGCAGGCGCCTGTAATTCCAGCTACTTTGGGGGCCGAGGCAGGAGAATCACTTGAACCCGGGAGGGAGAGGTTACAGTGAGCCAAGATCACGCCACTGCACTCCAGCCTGGACAACACAGTAAGTCAGTTTCAAAAAAAAAAAAAAAAAAAAGAAGACTTCAAAGTATGGACTCAAACAAAATAACATTTGGAAAGGTGGAAGCACCCCAAGCGTCCGCTGACGGATGGATGCATAAACAAGACGTGGTCTATCCATATACAATCAGCCTTAAGAAAGGTGATTCTGACACATGCTACCTTGAGGACATTATGCCAACTCAAATAAACCAGACACAAAAAGGCAGATGCTGTGTGATTCCACTTCTACGAGGCCCCTAGAGTAGTCAAATTCAGAGAGACAGACAGTAGAATTAATGGTAGGTGTCAGAGGCTGGGGATGGGAGAAATGGAAGTTTTTTAATGGGTAGTACACAGAGTTTCAGTTTTGCAAGACAAAGAGCTCTGGAGATTGGATACACAACAATCTGAATGCATGTAACAGAACTATAAACTTAAAAATAGTTAAGATGGTAATTTTACGGAAATTTTACCACAGTAATTTTTTTTTTTTTGAGATGGAGTCTTGCTGTCACCCAGGCTGGAGTGTAGTGGCACGATC